GCAGTTTCGTTTCCAAAATGAAGGTTATTTTTGCAGTCATTTCTTAGGAGAATCGTCGCATTCATGAGTTTAAAGTTCCAAATCATTTTACTGAAACGATTAACTAAAACACTTTGTCATAGAACTTTGTACCAAAAATACTATCAAACTACTGCAGTCTCAAAATTATCCACGTTCGACTACCTCCCTCCCCCTCATTTCTCCTCTCTCACCGCCCTCATTCCATGTACTAATCCACAAAGATCTACGTCAGAATGATGATCCTCGTCCTCAACCAGGGCCCGGCAGGAGGTGGCATTTCAGAATTTTGAAAACGATATCTCCTTTGAAGCCAAAATTTCTTACGACTTTCCCTTTGACCCTATTTTTGACCCCTGTAAGTCCCTGCAAACAGATATACACAAATAATAAGATGGGCGGCCTCAGCGCTTATTATAGTAGTACTACCTGGCTTTTCTGGTCCAGCCCGGGTCATCAAGGTTTCAGCTTAATGCGTTCATCCGCAAAGGAATCTATAAAAAAACATAGGGTCAAGATTTGCACAAACTTTGACGTTTATATATCTAATATATCACTCATTTATTAGTTAGCTGCAAAACTTTACAATTTACAATAACCGATTGCGATTGGAGCGTGCTTTCCGAGGCTGATCATAACGCTGTGAACCCTATTTGGGGCTGTATCGAAGCGGTGCCTTAGTGGTTTTGGAAGCGGATTTGAACATATAAAGTGCAGTTCATAATTATACGAACACCTCAAATTTAGAAATTTCTGTACTTTTTGACAGAAACTCAAAAAGCCGTTGGTACCACGCGAAAGAGCACAACCGAGAATGGTATATGATCCATAAGAATAAAAATGGATGCCAATTTCGGGAGTGTTTTTGCGCCTAGTGCGAATTTTTAGCGGTTCATAATTATACGAACACCTCAAACAAAGGTCCATTTTTTATTCAAGATTGCAGTCATTTGAGTCCAAATTTTTTGTTAAGCTACAGTAACAAAGTCTGACGTGTCCGCTACACACTGAACCCAGTGTAGTTCAAAAAGGGGACCGTTACTTTTTTCAGAAGGCTCTAAATGCTTCTGTAGTGATTGCGCTCCAAAAACATCCGTTCTTCTGCGGTTTACGCGCTCTAATTAGCTTCTACCAAAGCTTTGAGATGAAATAAGTTTTTTCGATGGGTATTTTGTCTGACGCTTAGAAAATCTTTGCGTTTCCGTGCTGTTTTTCAACCAAGTTTCAACCTTACCACAGAGTTAGCACGATTTCGAGCCTCAAACTCAGCTTCTGAAGCCGTACAATGAAGTGAGCATATAGTATGTAGAAGTTCACAAAACTGTATATTTGGCTAGAAAAAATCAGCAGCGTTGGGCGTTTGTTTTGGCCACGCAGACGTCATTTCATCAAAAACACTGCTTTTACTATTACAATCACACCTTTATTTGGTTTGTAGCTCCACAGCCTCAAGATCAGTTCCACAAAAAACCCAAAAACTTCGGCACAGAAACATCATCATGTAAACAATGCAGCTGCTTCATATCAAATGTTTGCGCAAGAGAGAAGCTGAGTTTTGAGGCTCGAAATCGTGCTAACTCTAGGGTAAGGTTGGAACTTGGTTGAAAAACGGTACGAAAACGCAAAGATTTTCTAAGCGTCAAACAAGATACCCATCGAAAGAGCTTGTTTTATCTCATAGCTTTGGTAGGAGTTAATCAGAGCGCGTAAACCGCAGAAGAACGGATGTTTTTGGAGCGCAATCACTACAGAAGCATTTAGAGCAATTCGAAAAAAGTAAAGATCCTCTTTATGGACTGCACTGGGTTTAGTATGTAGCAGATATGTCAGACTTTGTCACTGTAACTCCACAAAAAATTTGGACTCAAATGACTGCAATTTCGAATAAAAAATGGATCCTTGTTTGAGGTGTTCGTATAATTATGAACCGCTAAAAATCCGCACTTGGCGCTCAAACACTCCTAAGATTGACATACACTTCCATTCTTATGGATCGTGTACCGTTTTCGGCTGTGTTCTATTGCGTGGTACCAACGGCTTTTTGAGTTTCTCCCAAAAAGTCCAAAAACTTACAAAATTTTGGGTGTTCGTATAATTATGAACCGCACTTTAGTAATACTCTCGACCAAGTCCACATTTATGTAAAGAAATCCGGGAAATTATGTGAAGGGAAGCAGGGAGCCATCCCAGGTGGCTCCCAGGTGGCGCGGGAGCCACCTAATTTCGAAAAACACTTACCATTTTTTAAATTAACATAAGTTTCTCATAATTCTTCATACTTTTTTTGTGCTCATGGTCCTCCAACTACACAGCAAATTTGGTGCCATATCGTTACTTGTGCATTGAAAACGAGCTATTTTGTTATTTTCCTCTTACAAGAATTGCGATTTGAATTCCCGCCTGCGGGCAGGCTAGCGATCGGAGCACAGAATCTTCACATTGCTGGAATCTAAGTTCATAGGACAGTAGCATCAACAAGGAATGATGAATAAAGAATGATATGTGCATTGTTTATCGGTAAACAAAGGGGAAGTCGTATTTTGGGGTCCGGGGCTCCGCCCCAGACCTCAAAATACGACTTCCCCTTTGCTTTTTCGGGCCAAAAACGATGTCCAGCTTGTGAAAGCGCCACTCCCGCCGGGCCCTGTCCTCAACGTCTCGTAAAAGACACAAAACAGCAAAATTTGATCGCTTATATTCACTACATTCAAAGTGCAGCGCTTTCTGCATATTTAACACAAGTACATATCCCATGTCTGGAAATGTTTTGTTCCGTTGGATGATCACTTCCTCTTACACAAATCTATCCGTCACGCAAGTTAACACATCAGATTCTCTTTTTTAGTGATTTAAAAACCTAATCCCAAATCTAGTCATTTGAGAAAAGTCTAATGTGATGACCGAGTCACGAAGCTTCTTCCTTGAAAGATCTCAGATTTCCTTCACCACGAAACATCAAAAAATGTTAATCACGAGGAAAGCCTTGTCTTCCTGGATCTTCTGCTCACTCAAAGAAAAAATTTTGAAATGAGCTCAATCGCCCTCCCATCTAGAATCCAGAGCAAAAATACTTCCACGATCTGCAACTAACACGCATCTTCAAATCATTGTGTACTTTCACTCCTGACACACTGAGAAGCCTGATAATAATATATTTCAACGGTTGGTCCCATAGCAAAAATAAATTTAGGCATATAGTTTCGCTTTACTCTTACCTATGCGCGAAATTCCACTAATACCTGTCATGCTCATTCGTACCCCTAAACACCTGCTACCATCCTCCACAAGAATTTTCTGAATGTTTCTGTAACTTGGCGAAATATCCATTTAGCCATCCCATTTCCTCTAACTAAATGAATTATCTTCGCGCCTGACTCGCAGGCCGGACAATTTACGACAATTTCTGTGCAAACGATGACGGAAATGAGACAGACAGTGGGGCCAGAGACTGAGCCACATGGCTGTGCTCAGCTGGATGCTTAGCATTTCCTCATTAGCTAAGCTTCTACTGTTACTACACCAATATATCTCGAAATGAGTCATATGTATTCCTGCCTAGTATTCCATAAACAGGATGTCATCCTGCAAGTTGTCCAGCTATCTGCTTGTCTCGAAAAAAAATGCATGTTGCTCACGACTCTGTTAATTAGCGTGAAGCGCAACATTCGACACTAACAGCAAAAATTAATTCTCAAACATTATTTATCTTTAGGTTTATAAGATGACATAAATGAAGTCATTCAAACTGGATCTTATTTAAAAACAGCCTTTTCGGCCTTCCTTCTCCAAACCGCATATTCTTACATTTACCGACCTTCGCACGTGCGACACGCCAAAGTTCCGCTTCTAATTCTACTTTTGAGATTAATATACTTTTTTTCTAGAATACCAAGAAATCAAAGCATGCGTGTCCTTTTCTCTGCTTGATTGAATCCCAGCCAAGAAAAATGATAGGAGAAAAATCTCGAGAGCTGAGTAGCATGATTAGATTCAGCTTAGTCATCCCTCTCAGCAGTCAGCCAAGCCACCTGACAAGGATCATCCCATGACAATCTCATTACTAAACAGATCTCATTAGAGATGATACAGCTTGCAGAATGTTGAAATCTTTTTTTACGCAAACTTTCACTCAGAGGACGCTCTAAAACTGTCCACCTCCCCCAGGCAGAAGGATTAAAAATTCTTTAGTCTGAACAAGAAGACGGCTAAGAACTTGAGCGCAGTCGACTAATTCATCATAGTACAAGTCCTATTTACTCTCGCCCTCATTTCTGCGAGTTTGTTATTCTGACCTTGTCTAGAAGCTGCGAGCATGCATGTCAAAAAAATCAAATATTTTTTTCCAAAGGTAATGACACCGACCACGCCTTTTACAATATATCTGTGTACATAATCTCCAGCCTCTAGTTGACTGCTCTCCATAAAAAACCCAAGTAGTCAACATTGGAACGCTTTTCTATGGAAAATTTTCAGCACATAAGTTTTTCTTAATTGTTGTTTCAGATCAGGGAACCGCATTCACGTTTGAATGCTTGTCGATGAGAAGTTTGAGCGCTATGAAGCAACTAATCGACTGATTATTTCCGCAGCGTTCTATCATCATCATCATCATCATTCGGCTCTAATCTTGCTACTTAAAGGGTTGCTCTCGCTTGTTTCCTTAGGCTTGCATATTACGTCACTCCCATGGCAATCCTTTGAGAAAAGCAACTGCTCAAGTTCCATTCTGCATTTGAGGCTAACTAAGAAATCTGATAGTCATTTTTCCAATTTCTGACTTCAGAAGTGCGCTTATTGCAGTTTTCTAAAAAGTGGCTACCCAAGGTCTCGATTCCACTTTCCTGGTGGTATATATTCAAATTTTGTTTTCTATTAAAAGGTGGCTCTAACTCTTTATGAGATAATTAATCTATCTCAGGGGATCTCAAATGTCTCAGCAACTCGTGAGAAAGCGCAAAAAATTGTAAGAGTGAAAAACTCACGATAGAGATCGACCCAAATTTGTCCCCAACAGCCACCGTATTGTAATCCAAAACGCAACAAGTGGTCACATAGCGTGGAGTCGTATCGTCGCAGAAAATAACTAATTGATTCTCCTGCAAAATGATTTTCACATAACTATCGAAAATTTTCGTTATTCATCCGCCTACCGATTTTCTATATCGAACAAAGTGCACAGATTCTTGTGAATCCGTCACAATTATGCGTTGTCCAGTTGATTGAATTCCAGTGATTTGTACGGGGAAATTCTGCAAATGAAACTTTTCGTTTTACGTCTATGTGATGGTTTTAGCCGTAAACAACGATCAACAACCAACAACGATAATTTTCTACGACCACCATTACTCGGCGAAAAAAGTCATATTATGAAGTCATACATATTAAAAAGTCATATTAAAAAGTCATACATCTATAGGACTAGCTCGAACTCTTACGCATTGTTGACGGATGAGACCGTAGCTAATTATACAGCTATACCAAGCTTTTCCTCTCATATCAGCAGTGTTATTAATATCTCAAAAGCAAGCAAGGCTTTCTGTTACTCAAAGGCTTGCCTTTCGGATGCAAGCTCAGAAAATTGTGAAAGACGGGGGATTGGGTTGACTTTAATTTAGTTTAGCGGGGTAAACAAGAAACTTATAGCGTTCCTTAGTTATTGGTTTTTTAATGATAGGTAAGAGTAGCTTGAGCAATGAGCGGAACCAGGGCGTTTGAAGCATTAAATCAGGACAAAAAAAAAACTGAAGATTTTGAGACCAGAACAAAAGTGGAAATAAGGAAATGAGTTTGTTAAGATTTTGTTCCCCAATACCTAAAATTAGAAATGTGTATTCTCAAAAACCTCACCAAACTTCATAAATAAGTCAAAGTTGCATGTTCCAAACATCCCCGTTCTTTGTATGTGGCTCTTGAATAATACATGGAACGCTTTTTTTTGCTTAAATCACCTGCTTGACAGGTGTTTTAACTATCTATCACTAGCTACAAGTATGTCAACACTTTTCAAACGACAACAGTTGGCCATTTTGATCTGCTCAAAACTAAGCTCACAGCTTAGCAAGTCATTAGCAGCAGTTGCACGAGTGGGTGCGTAATTACCTTCATCGACATTTTCAATGAATTACTCTACCGTTTACGAATTTACAAGATCAAATAGCAAAAATTGTTGAGTATAGAGCTGTCGCATTAGCAATTGTCATCTCATCAATCATAGGGGAGTACTGCGACAGCAAATGCGCTAGAAAAACGCATATTACACTTCCAAGGCGGAAAAATCGCTAACATATTGTTTTTCCTTTCAAGGCAAACAGCGGCTTCCATTGAGTTTGCTTCATCCCTCTTCTCATGCGAAAACGCAACTTGTCGTCAAATAATCTGCCCCTCGTGTATATCATAACCCTTTTCCAGAATGCAATGAGTAGTAACGGATTCCTCTACACGCCTGAAAAATGATTGCTGACCCAGTGCACAACTACTCATGCACATTCTACGAATGGTCTCGCAATCCTCATCATGCCAAGTTCTTTCGGATTTTCTCCATTATTTCTGTGCTCACTGTACTCGTAGTCGTCGTCGTGCTCGGTAACGCACTCGTTATTGCCGCGGTTCTACTCCGACGACGTCTGAGATCGGCCACCGGTCTTTTGATTCTCTCTCTAGCAGTGGCAGATCTTTTGGTGAGTTCAAGTTTTTTGTGGGCAAAAGAGTTATGTCGCTGGAAGGGAAGATTCCGCGCGGACAAGTGCAACAAACTATGCACTCTACACACAAGGGCGCCACCCAACCAGATTCGAGATTGGTGTTAATTCACAGGCGTACAATAGCGAGCCCCCTAGCTAGGCAACTGTCCAAGTCCCGCTGCAAAAGGAGTTTGCCGAAGCGAGAAAACAGGAAGTGCACGCTGCTGGGGTCGCCACACCCACCGACGTGGGAGGTCTGAGATAGAGCTCGAAAATTGATTTCAGAACTATCAAATTTTAGAATGTGGTTTTTGGAATGAGAGGTGGATGATCGAAAATTCTAGGTAGGATTCTAGTTTGTCACTAGCTCTATACCACCCATGTTGATGGGCGTGGCTACCCCAGCAGCATCTACTTTCTGAAGCGATCTTCGCTTCGGAAGACACCTTTTCCAGCTATACTTGGGAACTACTTAGCCAGGAGCCTCGTTATTGTACTTTGAAACTTCCTTCTCCAATCTCGGATATCGGTAAACGCTGCCTTCAAAGGCACGTGCCGACTGTTCGCGCTGGTGCAGCTTATCAGCGACATTTCGTCCCCTCTGGGAAAGAGAGTACATTATATTGTTTTCCAGGTGGGAACTGTCATTCTGCCATTCAGTATAGCAAATGAAGTCTTGAATGGTTACTGGATATTCGGAGAAACGTGGTGCACAATCTGGTTGACCACAGACATCTGGATGTGCACAGCATCTATCTACAACCTTGTTGCCATCTCCATCGACCGATATATAGCGATAATCAAGCCACTCAATTATCCAATGCTAGTGACAAAATTCCGTGCTCGTTGCACCGTCGCCATCGTCTGGATCGTGTCATTCCTCATCTGCAGTCCGAGTTTCTTCCTAGCCTCCTCAATCAAGGATGTGAATCAAGAGCCGTGCAAATGCACACCCGCTAATGCCGGACGAGCCTACATAACCTTTAGTGCTTCGAGCAGCTTCTACGTGCCTATGGTCATCGTGATATTTGTTTACTTCCGTATTTACATCGCCGCACGAGCTGCCACTAAGAGCATCTATTCCGGTATGATGCAGGTTACAGCGAATGCTAATAAAAGTGCGAAGAGCTATTTGATCAACCATCCGGATGCCCTCTCAAAGGAAAACATGCCGATGTTACGCGTGCATCGAGGTTCTTCCGTTGCCAACATTCGACCACCTCATCTGTCATCCAAAATAATGTAAGTTTTTTGTATAACTCAGCTACTGGACCTTTTGTGTAAATACCTAATGAGAGATTTGAACTAAAATATTGTCCAAGCTCCAGCACAAAGATTTGATCGCTGCTGGGAAATTTAACCTTCAAACTCCAACCCGGACCTTAATCCCATGCAACCTCCTAAGTACGGTAGAAAATACCGTCTGGGCTGAGTTCTAATTTTCTCGCCGCGTGTAATCCATATAAGCTGCCGCTCTGGCAATGACTTAGTTAAGGCAACCCAATGACTCACCATATTCAAGACCCACATTCTTGATTTGCCACGATACTACCCAACTTCTGATTAAATATTATTTCTAATTACTTTAGCAGCAGTGCACAGAATGGCTACGGTGGAAGCAGTAGACCCAAGCCGCAACGAGACAGTAACGCATCCATTCCCACTATTAAACAAGAAACTGATGGAAATTCTTCCTCGAGGAGAACATCAAGGGAGAGGACCTCGATTCCAACAAAGGCAAACAGAAATAGCACCGCATCAGAAGATTCTGCAGGGTAAGTTCAGCTGTGCTATGATAATATGCCCTCGTCATAACAAGCATGTTACAGGTCACCGACAAAGCAGAATTGCACTACAATCGAAATCAAGCAAGAAAAATCTCCGCTAGCTAAACTTCGAAATCCGTTACGAAAATTGATGCACAGAGGGCAAGCCAAAAAATCTGGTGGTGCTTACGAGAAGCGACTATCTCTGGAAATCAAAGCAGCAAAGACAGTCGCTATTGTCACTGGTTGCTTTATATTCTGTTGGTTGGGATTCTCGCTGCTGTATGGTTTGGAACTACAAACAAACGATGTCATATGGTCCGTACTATTCTGGCTGGGATACCTAAACTCAGCTTTGAACCCAGTGATCTACACTGTATTCAATCGAGAATTCCGCACATGCTTCAAGCGATTACTTACTTGCCATCATCTCAACCATCCAAACACAAATAAGGTAAGAAGTAGACCTTTTTTTTGCTAGAAACTCACGCCAAGTATAAGATGTGAGGATTGACGAAACCCTAGGAAAACGCTTCAAAAATTAGAATGTTGAGCAGTTAACTGGAATGTTTTTTACACTACCTTATTTCAGTATGCGACAAACTCGTGCAATTCGAATATCCGCCCTGGGGTCACGAAAAACTACCGTGCAGCTTCCTCTCCTCATATGAACATCCCAGTTGGAACCGCCAAAAAGCCCTCATTTAGCAAATAGAGACACCCTATGATCTGATATTTCAACCGGTACAGCTGCCAAGTTATCTCAATAACGACTATGGCTAATACGAAATCTTTTTTTGCTTTTTGTGATTACTTGAAATTCATACTGTCAACGGTAAGCACGTGAAAACGGGTTAGAAGTTTCGGTCTCAATCTCTATATTGCAGAGGTGACTGTTTCTTTGTTTGTAATTGTGTACTACGTATAAATCGTCCAATAAGCTCTAGAAACAGACCAAAATACCAACGAAGTCACAGTGCATAGCAACAAAAAACTCGATATTTCAAAAGCATGTAAAGAAGATGATGGGTCAATGTTTGTCTTTTTTGCCTGCCAATCAGAAAACGGAGGGTAAATTTGAACGTACAGAGCAAGTAGTATTCGAGAAGGAGGTGACCACAACTTGAGTTGTTCGCGGTTCACGTTCACGGCGTTCACTAGCAATTTTTCTGGGTGTTCAGACAAGGATCGACCGGGAAGTGGAAGAAAATAGCTTGAAAAAAGTTTCTGTAGCAAGTAGAAACGAAATTCGCTAGCAAGAGGCCTTAAAAATCTGATCGGCACTTTCGCTGAAAAATTAGATGCTTGAGTGTAGCTGACCGTAGAAAAGTCGTTATCATCAAATTTCGTCATTAAACAAAACATTCTGTTGAGCCAATCAAAAAATCGATTATTTTGTCCATTCATTTTGCTATTAACCAAATCAAATTGACGAATAAGAGAAGAACTGGTTAATGTAGGTGGTGATGCTGAGGAAAAGCGTCATTTTTGAAAAGACGTCAAAATCAGATCTGTTTGAAGAAGGAAGTATAGTTTATTCGTTGACCGTAACGACTGCTGACCGCGCGGCGACCGCTGCGCGTGCATGATGTTTTCTTAGAAAAGATGAATAGAAAGAAAACAGAGGATTCTTCTCATCTTTATAATGTAGAAAAGAAACAAAGAATTCTTCTCATCTTAAGCCACGGTCACTTGTCACTTTTTCGCAAGTTTAGAAGGCATGCGTCGCAGTCGCCACGCGTCGGCAGTCCGTACGGTCAACGAATGAACGATACTTCTTAGGCAAAACAAGCTTGATTGAAAAGAACAAGAAAAGATAAAGGAGGAGAAGGAAAAGAGAAGACCGCTTAGATAAAAATGAATAACAACAAGTATGCATGATTTGTACCATAAAAAATGTAAACATACCCTATTTTCACATTTAGCCAGCAATTTTTTCTTTCCAAACTCGTATAGCCTCAAACGATTAGACATTCCAATCAGAGCGGAGCCGCGAAAATCATGTATCGCATTCACTGGCTAGAGTCAGCAAAATTTATATAAGGTGTATGTTAGACAGGTTCTCGACCTACATATGGTGTGTCTGTTCGGTGGATGAGATCAAAGCGGTCACCGCCAGGAGCTAAAAGGAACGTGTAGATGCAACCACGAAGGCTTTTAGCCACCTAAATGATAGATTTTCCTCAACTGTATACAAAGTTTTCTAAGAGTACCTCAGGCAGTTTTTGACTGATAGTACAACCAACAAGCACCATGTAGGTGTCTCCATGAGTAGCAAACTGTACAAGTGCGATACTGCAAAGAAGTATAAATTGAAGATTATGAGCCGTTAATGCTGCTTTGACGCTCCGCAAAGACAGTCACCTAGACTCACTGTCAGTTCGGCAGTTCTGTTGCGGGAAAGTAAGTTTGAAACCTGAGCGGAATCGGCGGTTGTTTAAGCCTACGCAATATTTGTAGGCACTTTATAATCAACTATTGATGTTGATATTTCTAATAATATAGTTGTCTCAAGAAGTATGTTAGTCAGAAAAGTGACAGTTCTAAAGCGAAACTACAGCTGCGAGAAAATGAGCAAACAAGTAAATATAGATTCCGCAAACCAGATTCTAATTGGAAAACTCATTTCCCTTGTGGCTTTTCTTAAATGATAACATATCCAACAAAATTTTCTCCAAATACTGAAAAAAGGAGTCATCCTAAAAACCATTATTCGTCACCTACGATTAGATCTTTCCATGAAATGTTGTGTGGGGCATAAAAGTGATCGAGGCTTTTTGCTACGAGTGTGTAGAAAATCTGAGTTGCGCTTATCCAAGAACTAACTGCCTTACCATTTTGCAGCTTCATCTTGTGGCAATTCAAAAGTTGAAACATTTTCTCCAGTCTTGATGTTCAGCAGACGGACGACAGAAGCCCACTTTCCTAAATAGAAACCGATATACATTCATTTACTGTAACTAAATCGAAGCGTGCCAGGTGCAGCCTTTGCGGCTCCATAGACAGTTTCATCCGGCTTGTTATTTCGTAGCGTATCAGCAATCTCTTTTGCCAATTCCACCTCTTCCATATCAGTAGCCAGTCGCACAATATCCTAAATCAAGCTGCCAGGAATGTCTAATATAAGGTACTTCCATGAAAGTGTTTTTATAACATGTGAAAGTTTGTTCAACATTTTGAAGGCTGTGAACCTAACTCACCCACCAAGTAGGAAAGGTCTGAATAAAAGATCATCAAAGGGAAAGACATTTGTACTCACGTCAGCCATATCATTTCTTTTCTTGTCCAAAGTCACAGTCGTATAAGCTGCATGATCAGTTTCGATCATCATAAGGCATGTTGCCAATGGATGCACAATCATCCGTCGAGGAGTGAACTTCAATGGATAGCTAATGTGATTGAAAGAAGCGCCAAGCTTTTCAACCGCCATGATCCTAAACGTTCATATGTGTAGAACGAAACGCAATATCGTCGGTTTGTTGACGAATCTACCTCAAAGTATTTTCTGCAATCGCCACAATGCCTTCGAGACATTGTTCTGAGCTGAAACTCGACGCAGACTCCAGCGTTACATAACTCAATGGAGTCAGATGGAAACGGTTTTGGTAGTGGTATAGCAGCCATGAACGCGATGAGGTGCAAAGAACCTAAACACCAAATTGGTGGAGTACTCCGAAAGATTCATTTATACTCACAGCGTCTTTGTTCTGGCTTCGAACACGGAACACTCTGACAGGTCTAGTACCCAGATATCTAGTTCGAGTGTCCATCATATCTCCAGTAACGTTGTCAACGGTGGTACGCAGTAAACAACCATTCTATAAGAACGCTACTCAGTACGAGCGCATCAAGAAAAAAAAAACGACGCTACCTGAAGTCCGATGTTGAGATGGATAGTCGAGGATCCTTTACCATCTTCGCTTGTGGTCTCCAACAATAACAATGACTCCGGCTGCGATGGAAGAGCTTGCATACTAGAAAAAACTCGTTAACTTAATCCATCTGCTATAGCTCCTACCTCAAAGGGCTTAGAGTGTCAGTGGGATCCAATGAAATCACGCGAACTGTGCTATCTGCGATTCCCACCGTGAGAAAACGCGAACGAAGCTCCCCTTCGGGTATTTCGCTCAAGCTCATGCATAGTACTTCATGCGGCCATGATGTGCGCTCGGTGAACTCATTCAGTTGCCCAGTCTAAATTAGATTAGTCGATATTACTATAAAAAAATCGAGTAAAACACATACCGGATCAAGTTCGAAATAGACAAGCTCACCACCAGCCAAGGCAACCGCGACTTGTCTTCTAAAAAAATTTGTTTTCGGGAACAAAAGCAACTTCTCAATGCAGAGTACAGATCAGATATGATAGCGATAAATATTAGCCAAATGTGAGCAGAAAATGCAAATTACATTTGCCCGCTTTCACAGCACTTTCCACCTATTTGCAAGGAAAACTTCTAGACGTTTATCAAAAGAGCTCAAGATCAACAAAAGGTCAAAGGAACAAACGGCACTTACTACATGACTCAACGTCAACTGCTCGAGGAAGAAAAGAAAATGGAAGAGATTAGAAAAACTATAGAGCTCACAAGATATGTATAATCTATAAGAAACAAACTAACCGATTCATGGCACATTTGACAATCTGACGCTTTCCTGGAGTCTTCCATTCATTTACACGGCGATCAGAGCGGATATGCCGGATACCTTCCGGATAGATCTAACCAATGTGTAGGATAAATACACAAATACTTTACTGATAAGTCCTCAAAACAAGAACAAACCTGAAGTAAGGCATCGTCACCAATGAGCCCACAACCAAGAGTAGGGGTTGTAGCCATGAAACCGGAATCGTTTGCTTCTTCTACAGTCTCTCCAATAGCCAACACCAAGGTAGCGTTCACGAAAGATACAACAATGTAGGCGTCGTGCTTATCTGGAAATTCATTCTTACAGTGGTATACCATAAGTTGATTGATTGATTGATTGATTATTTATTCAGTAAACAAATAAGACAATAAGTTAAGATAAGCTTGCCATCGATGTTTTTCTTCACAGTCCATACGGCATTGGGATTACCAGGAAGCTCTGATACGGCCATTTCCGATACCTGAGAGAGACCATCGAAGTCTCAGTTGCTGCATAATATATCGTATTTGATAACAGCACGTACCTCCAACCCATTCCTCAAAACACGAAGGGTCGAACGAGCTCCTCGACCCACGAGGGCATATATCTGTGGAGCATCCTCGCGAGCCAAGTCACCAATCTTAACTTAGAGATGTGTAGTACATGCATAAGCTAATTGGGAAAAAACTTACGTATGAGTCTGTCAATGGGCATAAACTTTCGATACGATCGATTGGAACCAAACTCTTCAGCTCGCGAATACCATAAAAGAATGTTTCACCTTCGTCAAGGTGCATTTTTGAGGAAAATTCTGGTTCTTCTGGATCGTCTCCCAGGTTTGCAATTTGATACAAGTGGCTGAAATAAGAGCACTTTTACTTCGAGGTGGAGCAAAATTCGGAATAACGAAACTAGAGCATAGACAATCGCTCACTAAGATACAGGTACAACAAAAAAAATTAATCATCTAGAATTTACGAGAAAGATACATTTTCATAGTGACCATTTGCTCATAGTTTGTACGTAAAGGAAGAAACTCACTGATCGCCGAATTCACTCGCTACAAACAAGAAGCCAGTCTTCAAAATGCACATGGCGTTCGCAGCAGGTACAGTATCAAAGTACTTCACCTTCATCTCAGTCACCAAGTCCTCATCAGTCTCCAATGTTACCTGCAAGATTCTTATGTGCACCAAAATCAGCTGCTGAATTTCAAAAACAATAAGGAGTGACATCCGTGGCAAGGTCCCAAACGGGAGCAATTACCTTGAACAAATCTCCCTGCTCGGTCTGCAGTAAGAAGAAGTACATGAGCTTGGTTTTGTGGGTAGCTGCACAAATGATCATGAGCGAACGATCGGGATCATCGAGATCATTCTAGAAAATATCTCTTAAACTGCAACATGAAAATTCAAACTTAGCTCACCCTTCTTCTTGGGATTGGGCACCTGATATCAGGCTGTTCTCCCAAATTCTTATAAACCAGATAATTTTCGCAGCATAGAATCACACCAGATGGCCCCTCGTTCCCTCCGGGTACTAGAATTATCAAAATAAATATGTGAAAGGGGTACTACAAAGCAACAGAAAGTAATAAGGAAAATAATGACAAAGCTTTACCCGCTATAATCATTGTTGCCTTGTCGTCCAGCGGTTCAGCATACTTCCTTACTACATGGTTAAGACCCAAGTCAAGCTCATAAAAAGTCAAAGTTTGCTTCGTCGTCTGCAGCGCTTCACCGGTAGGATCATGTTCAGCATCCTGTGAAATATAATTAGTTAAAGGAAATTGTTGAAAAAAAAAGGATCTTCAATTTAACCTCGTAATCAAATTCGAGGCATGCAAAGGTTGGATTTTCGAATCCGACATCGATTCCGACCATACCATAGCACAAAGTGTACTGCTTATGAGCTTCCAGGGGAGACGATATTGTAAGTCGAGCTTCCGCATCACGATTCATGATGTAAACTAGTTTTTGCCGCTCGACAGCGCCTAAAAACGTAGGCTTGTTGACGACCAGCTTAAGAGTAGGTTCATAAAAGAGGTTTTACCTATCATGATAGCTCTTCCCTTCGGATCCGCTGCCAGGTAATGACCCGGGACTATTCGACGACATCCTGTTTTGCCGAACGTTTCCTAAAATTGACATCTGTATTCTTGATATGCTTTACTCTCTAGGTTCTGACCTGGTGCACACGTTGAAAGGAATTCTTCTCGCTCGAGTATTCCAAAATAACTATTCGGCCGGAATCGGAACCAACAGCGATGTAGTCTGAATTATATAGAAAAAAAATAACGAACTATGTCTCATCCATATATGGAAGATTTGTACTCAAAAAGCTCAGTGGAGTGACCACTAAAAGACGAATTACCTTTCGTTCCACCCGTAAGCCTAAACGGCATCAGCGATCTTATGATTCCGAACACTTCATGACTACATAAGACCTGAACTGTCCACTTTGAGAAAAGATTTCACAATTCTGCAGAAAACCGCAGACTTGTGAAATCTGCATTAATACAGAGCAATGATGCTCGATCTCACCTTAATTTTTCCAGTGGTTGGATCACAAAAGAGCAGCTGCAGGGTAGAACCACGTCCTACGCAGATTTCCTAAAGCAACTTTTCCTGTGACTTTATTTGCACTATGGATTGATAAATATTTACGCCAAAAGAATGTCTTTGTAGAAACCTGAGCTTTTGGTGTTCCAGAAAAGTTTCCATGAACGGCTTGATTGATGGCTGTTTGTCCTTGCAGGGTAAGATTGTAGAGATGCATGATTGTTTAACGTGCTCCGTTCTTCAGGCTTCAATACGACTGAGCATCTAACAAAGGTTTGAGTTAACTGCTTGTAGAGATAGAAACGCTAGAATTTCTATCTGCAAGTAAACATGATTATATGGGTCACAGAGATAAAATATGAATAGGTGGAATAACTAAATAGGAAAGGAACTTTCAAAAAAGAGAATGAGAGTTTGAAAAAGACACTGGGGTGAAGGAGATGGAAAATTTTCGAAGAACATCACAAGGTCGCGATTGCGGGCAACGACTAGCGATTTTCGGCATATTCAACAATTGGAAGTTAGTGCATCCCATTCGCAATCTCGCTCTCCATCTCGATTGCGCGAAGCGCGAATGTTCAATTTCACCCGCGCGATGAATCCTAATCCGGCTACCCCGGTTGAGAAATTCTTTAGTTTTTCACCCTAGAAAACTTCACATAATCATTTGCAGACAAAAAATCCATTCAGCCAGCAAGATGGCTTACCAGAAGTCGTTCCAGTCGTTCAGGGAGAATTCGGGAGTAATGGATTATGTGAGTAATCTCAGCTCTTTGGACCTTGGAAATATGTTGCAGTTACATTGCTGCGCATGCAAATTGCGCTCTTGATTACTAGTTGTATCTGGGTCATTTGATTGGCAAATTTTGGAAGCTCTAGGTTTTCATATGAGGGAACAAAACCGCGGCTTTCTACTCTTTGAAATTTTCTACCAGTTCATCTAGTTTTCTACTTACAACTGTTTTGCAGCTGAGCGAAGACGATGTCTCCAGTGCTTCAGAAGAGGATGAACCACATTCTTCACATTCTAGCTTCGTGGAAGTGAGCTTTCCAGCATTTTGCCTACCACTCAAGAACAGATCCGACGATGGCGATATAACCAGGGCCCGGCACAGATCGTCTGGAAGCAGGCTGGACTTCGTTTTTGGAGCAAAAAGCAAAAGAGATATCGTTTTTGACGAGTCGAGGCTGAGCATCAACAATAAGCGCAATTTAGTCGAACACAAGCTTTTCGGACAGGTTATCACACGATTGACGTGCTCTATCGTGTACGGCGAAAAGTGCGCGCGATTTGAAAGCAAGGCTCAAATAAACAACTTGCTTGTTTACAGCGCACACAGAAGCATATGACACCAAATTTGAACTGTATACATTGAAAATTATTTGCAAAAGAATTATGTAAAAAGGTTTGAAAACTTATGTGAAGTAATACGTTTTCCAAAATTAGATCGTCTCCAGACGTCCACCAGACGATCTGAGATCGTCTGGAGCATATATTTTCGTCACTTCACATAAGTTTCGGATCTTTTTAGCATGGACGGATTCCCCGATCAAAAATCTATCCCTGAGCATGAAAGCATTTTCATATCATTGCCTTGCCTTTGTTTTTTGCCTTCATTTTTTTCTCAATTTGTTAAATATCGCGCTCTAATGCCAAAGTCTTGTGCATGCGTAGTATTCAGCTCCAATTTGGATTTTCACTCTTATCTTACGTCCTTTCTTTCAGACTAGTAAACCTTTCTTGTTTTCATCCTCTCCTAAGCTGGTAGATCAAAGGGGACTTCGTAAAACTTCCAAAAGTCAGGGGAGACTTCGTTTTCAGAAACCCTAGAAACCGACTCGTGCCGGGCCCTGGATATAACCAAGCTCCATTTTGACTGACCTAAGACTCCTGGCTCCGATCGGTTTTTCTTCCTTAATAAGTCAATATAATGTAACACAATCCAGTACATTATATTCAATTTTACTTCAATATAATGATGGACCAGGTTTTTTGGCTACTTGCTAGCTATCTTTAAGTGTCTTCAAAATGTTTATCGGCTAACAATGAGCTTGGTTGAAAACGAAATAACTTCGTGCATTATATCGTGCATTCCAGTCAAGCGGTGAAGATGTAGTACCCGAATCGTTTTGCTCGGACTCAGTTACGGGATCAAAAGAAGAGGTAAATTGAGCGTTATATTGCACCCAAACGAAAGAGCCACTTTTGTGGAAAACGTATCGCTAGCAGACTATTTTTTATGTTCTTTGAATGCACATATTTAGGAAGCGCAACATCCGTTCGCATCAACTCCGCGAGAGGGTGCTCCGAAGGTAGCTCATAATTTCTTCGCAGTTTGTATTGCATGGAACAACTTGTTTGCAGGCATTGTGGGCTGATCCGTTCTCACCACGAGCGCGCGGAGGTTTGTGCATGCAACTTTCTTACCTGATACCAAATCCCTTTTCTAGACATGAATCCCGATCGTAGCCGTTCCTTCATAGCTCACAGCGACTCAGGTGAGCTTCAGTAGGTTATACGTCTCCGCTTCCTACACGATCATCCTTTTTTCTAGAACTTATGTCACCACAGTCGTCTCGACTTGCTAAAAATCCCAATGAAAATGGAAGGTTGCGAGACCGTTTAGCACGTAGACTAATAAGCAGAAAGCACCAGAAACAGGTAAGTACCTGACCAGAAAAATTATGCCCAATCTGATTTTACATCTGTTTCGAGGGTGTCTGACTTGGTGGTTTTCTAACACATTGCAATTTCATAGTTGTCATCTTTAGTACCATAGCATCTCAGTCTAGTTACACTCACACTCTCTTAACTTACATCTGTTGTAGGAACTTGAATCACGCACCCAACATCTCGATGTAAAAGGTTTGGATCTCAGAACCAACATGCCATCGGAGACTGTTGTTGAAAGTAGCCCCTCACCTACGCCTGATGATGTAGTAGTACTGGATAGCGACGAGGAGAAGAAAGCAGATAATTCACCTAAAGAAGAAAAGCCACAACCGTTGAGTGTACTTCCTGAAGTCATCACGATAGGATCTAGTGATGAAGAAAAACCTGGGTCAAGCATGGCACCATCTTCTGTTTTGCAACAAGAAGTATTTGAGATCCCTACTGAACCGCGGGAAGTATACGAGATCCCCGCGAAGGTGAGGTTACGCTCTTATTATGTGCATGTCTTACGCTCTTATTATATGCATATCACACGATCTCTACGAACTCGAAGCTATTTTTTCAGCCTATAGCGAAATTCAAAGACGAGTCTACATCGAGCCTAGAAGACATGTTACGAAGTGCACAAGTACGATTTCTTCTATTGTTAATATCTAGCCTGCCTACAACTTATAGAAACTTCTCACACGTGGTCTTGCCTTGCCGGACAATGGCGAGCGCCTTCGCAGACAGATCGCGGATTTAGAAGCGGAACTTGCAAGAAGAGAAAAATGTAATAAGTACCTTCTCGAAGTTGCATCCGCTTCACAAGTTTTCATTCAGATACCGAAGAACCCGATCTCATAGTGGATAAGGTCGTCGACGCGATGAACAAATCCCTGCACATAAATGCAAATCCTGAGGACAGGAAGCCACGTAGTGAGTTATAAAAATAAAGTCCCATGGATGACATTATCAGATTCTAAATATTTTCGATCTAAATGATGTCTTAATTGGCGCACAACGCCCATTTGCTCGTGCTGTACAGGAAAAGGCGTTGCAAGAGCTACACAAGTGCGGTTTTATTTTCCTTTTTATACACTGTTCAATCATGTTCAACCATCTCAGGGCGTTGTCATCTCAGCCTGAGCCAAACCAGTTAACCGAGACGCCTAAAGGCATAGTTTGCCCTTTGAGAGAGCACCAACAGTCTGGTTTGACTTGGATGTTATGGAGGGAATCAATCTCACCTCGTGGTGGAATTTTAGGTATCTTACATGTAATGGACGCACTTATTAATGAGTAAATTTCAGCTGATGAAATGGGACTTGGGAAAACTCTGAGCGTAATTTCTCTCATAGTCAATGCGAAGATGGAGCGAAGACGACGAAGAACAGAAGGAAATGATGAAGTGGACAGAGAAAGAAGGAAGCAGATAAAGGCCAGAGGGTAAATTTTGAATGAAGAAGAAGAGTTTGGTGCTGAACTTTTGTATTTAAGGCTCATACCATCAAATGCTACTCTGATTGTGGCACCAGCAGCGCTGATTTACCATTGGGAAGCAGAAATCAATGAACGGTGTGAAGAAGATCTTTTGGACACAGTGGTATACCATTCCGCTTCGAGGAAGAAGATTGGTATCAACACGTAGGTTTTAGGAACTAATGGCCATAACTTTGCAACCTTGCGAGTGTACAAAAATTCTAGCTTAAAACATGCTGATGTAGTTATCACCACTTATACGACATTAGCAAGCGAGGTCGAGGGAGACAATAAGGTAAGCTTTTGTTGCCAAAACTCGTCAAGAAACGTTTTCATTGTCTTTCCAGCATGAAAGGGTCCGTGTTCGGAGTCCTTCTCAGGTATACATTGTAACTTGTCATTTGACAGAAACATAATGTTCATATAAGAGTTTCCAGAAATCAAGCTTCTTAGAAGAAATTCATTGGGCAAGGATTGTACTGGACGAAGCACATCAGATAAAAAACAAGGCCACGAAATCTTCAAGGGTGAGTGGTAGCATTCAAGTTCGAGATATCGTGTCACCTTGCTGTTCTATACAGATGTGCACTCCGTGGGCAAATACACGCGCCTTAACTGGTAGCTCAAAATAACATTTCATCGACAGTTTTATTAGCAACTAGCTGGCTTACCCGGCTCCGGCGTATGTTCCGAATAGAAAATTCCATTTCTTAACCAATCCGGACCAAACTTGGCACACATACACTTCGGGCCCCGGCGGGTGTCACAGTCCACTTTTCGTTATCGATCGATGTCGATTTTATCGATTTTTTGCAAAGTTTGAGCTACGGGGCTGGGAGTTGGCACAGGGGGGTAATCGTGATCAGCATGCTCGATCACACCCCTCTGCCAAATTCCAGCCCCCTAGCTCAAATTTTGCAAAAAATCGATAAAATCGACATCGATCGATAACGAAAAGTGGACTGTGACACCCGCCGGGGCCCGAAGTGTATGTGTGCCAAGTTTGGTCCGGATCGGTTGAGAAATGGAATTTTCTATTCGGAACATACAGTGACCGCCAAAAAGTTGCGGACAAGCCTCCCTCCCTTTTTCATCGCTCTTTTTCAGAGAGAAAACAAGGATGAAAAAATGTAATAATTGCATGAGGTGATAGAGCTCTTCAAGATCTGCATTCTACACTTTAAATTTTTTGAGAAACATGTGTTCTAAAAGTTTTAAGAACCTTTTTCTAAAAAAAGTCCGAAAATGGCCGCGTCACAATGTCGCGGACAATAATTCTTCGAACGCAAAAAATTTCTTTTGAGTCCTATTTTAAAGAGGAAACACAAGTTATCCGGACGGGTAAGCATATCACTATACAGAGCTCGTCAGGAACTACACACTGGTTATGGTTGCTTCCCCAGAAAACGCAAGCTTGAGTTTTATTTTAGTTTTTTCAAAAAACAACTTCTAATTTCCTTTACCAAGCCAAATTTCTTTATACGGAAACCTGTTCAAGACATCCCAACAAAGCCGTCTGGATAAAATAGATGATCTTTGCCATCCTCTACGCATCGGACGGTGCTGATGAGTTTCTTGGCTGAAAATGGCCCTTGGCATGCTTGCACATGACCCCACCTGCACCTCACAACTGACTTGTACCGCTTTGCAGGCTTGTAACTCGGCCTGCAGTCAATATTTAAGCCTGCAGTTAGGCTCTTTCGAAAGAGCGAGACTTCCTCTATACGATAGTATGCAAATAAGTTCAGTTTGAGCAATCCCAGAGATTTGACGGATAGGGTGGTAAAGGGCAGCTTCAATTGTAGTCTAAGCACATTTCAGCTAAAGATGAAGAGAGCTCCTTTCGCTACCAATTTCATCCAGGAAGTTCAAAACTGTCAATTTTCTTGTAATAGATCCATTTCGAAGCTCTAAGACTGTTCTGTTGTTCATAAGAGCTTTCACTCCAATCACCTCCAAGGCTGCACTTTTTCTCCCCATCCGCCAAATCTCTGAAATTTCTCAAACTCAACTCGTTTGCATATCGTCGTGTCCAGGAGTTCACGCTCTTTCGAATGAGTCTACTTGAAGACTCTTATAGCGTCTGGCGGCCGAGTTACAAAACTGCAAAGTGGTACAAATCAGTGGTGAGGTGCAGGTGGGGTCATGTGCAAGCACTGCCAAGAGCCATTTTTAGCAAAGAAACTTATCAGCACACGTCAGATACATGGAGAATGGTAAAGAGCATCTACTTTATCCGAACAGCGTTGTTGGAATGTCGTGAATAGGTTTCCATGTGAAGAAACATGGCTTAAAATGGAGAATTAGAAGTTATTTTTTGAAAAAAAAGCAAAATAAAACTCAAGCTTGCGTTTTTTGGGGAAGCAACCATAACCACTGTGTAGCTCTTGACGAGCTCTGTAGTAGTGTGTTTACCCGTCCGGATAACATGTGTTTCCACTTTGAAATAGGACTCAAAAGAAAATTTTTGCGTTCGAAGAATTATTGTCCGCGACATTGTGACGCGGCCATTTTCGGACTTTTCTTAGAAAAGGATCCTTAAAATTTTTAGAACACATGTTTCTCAAAAAATTTAAAGTGTAGAATGCAGATCTTGAAGAGCTCTATCACCTCATGCAATTATTACATTTTTTCATCCTTGTTTTCTCTCTGAAAAAGAGCGATGAAAAAGGGAGGGAGGCTTGTCCGCAACTTTTTGGCGGTCACTGTACGTACAGACAGACAGACATGCAGACATACAGACAGACAGACAAACAGACATTCAGCTTTATATATAAGATGTTGCCGAAATTCGTGCTGAATGTATTTGCTCTACTTTTATATCTATGCTTGTAGTTGGTACTGATTTCTCTACAACCGTTCGCTGCCGGCAGTACAGTCGGAGAAGTATCCGGTAGGGGGGGGGGGGGGGGAGAGGACACGGAGACTCTGTAATTAACGGGCCTTGTTTGGGCATCGTTCGAAATCCTGGGGTGCTTTTCAGATTTTCATAATTGTGCTAGTTAGAAAAGCTACCGCTGAGGGATCTGACCAAGCCTGCCATTGGGAATTCAGTAGCGCTTTCCGGAAATATATCACCGCTTGTGCCTCTTTTGAGATTGTGTAAGTCAGATCCGTATTATTATCGTCTCTAGTTTAGGCGGTATGCAGATTGGAAGCGGATGCTCGATGGTGCGTCACAGGTACACCACTTCATAATAATCTTTGGGATCTGTACTCGTTGATGAGGTTAGTGGCTGGCATTCCAAGTATTTCTCACTGAACACCACGAAGCACCACGTCTTTTATCTAGATTTCTCAAAGTGGATCAGTTTTCTGAAGAATGGTATTGGAAGGAGTACGTTGTCAATTCTTCGAGTCCGTATATACCACCATATTTTCTTTTCTTTACTCTGAGTGATGCAGTTGACGTTTTTAGAGAAATCTGCTGATCGTTTGAATCTTTTGATGAAGACTTTTGTTCTACGTCGCGAGAAGAACTTTATCTCAACAATGTCTGGAAAACAGCTGGTAGTGTGCAACAGCACCGTGTCACTGTCTCCTGCACTATATGTGCTGTTCAGGTGGAGTTGCCGCCGAAACATTGTGAAGATGTTTTCGTCGAGTTTGAAGAAGACGAACGCGCAGCATATGACATAATGTTTGCGGCATCAAGGTCTGCGATTGAGTTCTTCTACATGTGATACTCGCAGGTGATTTTATTGCCAAATCTAATTTAGGCAAAAAATACAGCAACTCCTGGACGAGAATCAGGGCGAAGAACTTAGCTGCGTTCCAAGAAATAGATGTCCTAAACCTGCGACACCCGCAAGGAATCCCTTCTTAAGTGAGAATTTCAAAGCACCTTCAATTTTACACGTAATCGTTGCTGGTTACAGTGAACGGTGCTAGTGCGGCTAGCACGAACTTTGGTCGGATGGGTTGCATGTTGGTCATTTTGTTACGTCTACGTCAGGCCTGCGTTCACTTCCACCTCACCAAAAAAGTAGGTTTTTTCAAAATCTTGTACCATACATGTTGCGCCAACATTTTGAAGGTTTTCATCTTTGGTGTATCTGCATTTCAAGGCTGGCGACTATTTCTAGGCCATGGATTTGGAGGCGTTCCAATCGCTTGATTCACAAACTCCAGTAACAAACGTGGAAGACGCAGAGCTGGCCAACTTCAACGTCGAATCAGTGGTAGGAAAAGATTCATTGTCTGATGTCACGCACATCTTCAAAAGGAAGTTCACTAGTGCTAAAGTTCGTGTTTGTAATCGTTCAAACAATATAAGACTTCTAAAGATCGGATAAGCTTCATTTCACTTCAGATCCGAATGGTACTCAAACTCCTAGAGTCGATCTTGGAAGCAAAAGAAAAATGGTAATTTGTACAAATTCAGTTTGCAGAGAAAAAATCATTGAGATACAATTTCAGTGTAATCGTTTCACAATGGACTTCCTTCCTTGTACTCCTCGAAAAGCATATCAACAAGAATTTCGAAGATGCTGTTTGCTCTTCCATCACTGGGGAAGTGAAACCATCTGAACGGTAACGTAATTAGTCACATAAGATCATGTTTTATCATTGCACTAGTTCAGGCAAGAGCGAGTGGATGCTTTCAACAAAACTAATGAAATTGATATTATGCTGATCTCCATAACTGCTGGTGGTGTAGGACTAAATCTGACCGGAGGTGAACAGAAACTTTGTTGCAGTTTCTCGTAAGTCTTGCTATTTCAGGAAATCACCTTATCTTGCTGGACCTTCATTGGAATCCAGCATTGGAGTTGCAGGCGAGTGACCGTGTCCATCGCATAGGACAAACCAGAGATGTATTTATTCACAAGTGAGCGTTAAACTATCTGCATCACTATCCATTCTCTATATGTGAGAAATTCCGAACTCTTTCTTTGTTTCTTTCTTCCTTTTTTTTCTCTCTATCTCTCTCTCCCCTCTGATTCGGACTACTGTGAATTTTTGGATATTTTCTGTTTTTCAGACTCATCATGAAAAACTCCATGGAAGAAAGAGTGCTGGATCTACAGAAAAAGAAGATGGAACTGGCTGGCAGCGTGTTGCGAGGGTTTGTTACCACCTTATGAATTATTTGATTATAATTTGTAGCAAGATATCTTTTAAGCGCTGTATCAAAGAAAGCCATGAATTTGACGATGGCGGACTTACGATTCTTATTCAATTTGGATGGTTCGGAAAAATCAAAAGTATGAAGGAAGAGCATCATTTCTATCACTTTTTTGGCGCGAACACCTGCCATTCTATCAACCGTTGTCGTCGGGTCTACTCACTCTTGCCGAATAAAATAAATCTTACGGGTATGTGGCTGTGAGGTCTTTCTGCTTAGCTTTGTATCGTTTAACAACTGTAATATAACAACATGTAAATCCTCGCTGTGAATCATTTATTATTTTGATATTGGTTTAAACTTTTTGAATAAAATTTATTTTCTTGGTTAGTTTAGAGCAGTATTACAGAGCATGAGTTTTTCTCCAAATTATTTTACACATTAATATTGGTTACTCGTTTCTACAGATACTCTCGCGACGGAGTGTTAAGAGTACCATATCGCTGTAGAATGTCTATATTTCTGTCTGTCTATTGTCTCTATTTCCTTATTAATCTAAGCGTCGACATCGAAAAGCAACTTTTACGCTGTCTTGTAGATCTTGTGACTTGTGAAAGATCACGATTGCTGCTTACCTTGAAGTTAATCTACTAAGGTACTAATGAGAAATTCCACATATGCGGTTAACCTCACTTGGTTGTGTGACAGCGTGGATGTATGGTAACCATCAGTTTACGCGTCGATGAGACCAAATTTATACTCCGTTTTTTGAGCGTGTCTAGTGTGCTCCCGCAGCGTTGTGTTACGCGCCGGCGAAATTGGCGCTAGGTTATGTAGGCTAACAAGTTTCCTCATTCACCCTCTCGTATATTTCGTTCGTATTGCAGGGTTGCCATATTAATTTGAAGTAATCGACGCTTACTTTTATCTAGTTCTGTCATCACCTGTATTGTACATCATTCATAGGGATTCTAAATGTTGTATAGGTATTTTTAGATCCAAAAATGGTGGCAATGGTTGATACGGAAGAAGTTGATGATTATACAGTGATTTCTAAACAGAAGAATGGTGAGCACTGTCTTGCTCTTTTTTATTTCAACGCATAGTCTCTTTCCACTTTGATCATAGCATGAGTGTATCTAAAATATGCACTTATGTTTCGTATCTCACTTGTACGAGAAAATGTGTTTCATTCATGGAAAACATAGTCAACATCGACTATACAGTCGAGAATCTTGAACGGCAAAGAGCACATTTGAGCCCAAAAACTTTGTCAAGTGCAGCAGATTCGAACTTTATCATTCTTTTTGCTGTTCAAGATGTAGTGGGAACTGGTAGCAAGCTTAAAAATCACGGGTGTACGCCGTAAAGTGAGCCATTAAGAAACTGTCAGAATAATATGCAACTGAGTTTATTGTGCTTTAACCGATATTAAATTCCAAACGACAAAAACATGATCACTTCAATTTTTCACATACAGCAAACTTTGTAACTTGGTATGTTGAACGTCCTGTTCAGCTCATACCCGCGGGTTGGTTGGAATATGGTCATTCAGAGCGGGAAACGGAATTGTTGGTCTTGTTTCAGTTGGACATGACTCGGTTAAACTTTGGAGAATGTAAGATTTTGTAGTCACTGCTTTCTTGCTTGTCATCACGGTTTTACCTCGGTGCCAACTTGTAGGGATGAAGCAGCCAGTGGGGCAGTTTCGCTTACCAGTAAAGTAGAAATACAGGAATGGCGGACTGCGATACAATCTGCGGATGTCACTAACGACGGAAAATGTATGCTTGCTATCTGCTCTAGTTCGTGAACATACAATCGCAAAGTTTCCCAGAAACAGGTATCTGCTTGGTAACTGTTGATTCAATGTTCTACGAAATCATACTTGGTGATGAAGGGCCTGTTGTCATGCCTCATGATTTTGGAGTCATGGAGGCATGGCATGTACGAATCGCGAAGAGCAAAACGAATTATATTACTGGTGAGGGTGATTATTTTTAATTCGACATTGAGTTTGAATTTATTTTCTAGTGGGATTTTCTGGCTTCCTCAAAGAGATCGACCTGAATGGGAAGGTTTCCAGACAGGAGGCTTTTCCTTCGGCAAAAACCGTTGGTGCAATCGCATATGTTAGCCTCCATTCATTGTTTTTCTTACCGTATTGAGACAATAGGACTTGGTTTAGGGTAATAGCAGTCGCCGCCTTGCTGTATCCACTTTTGAAGGCATATTACACATTTTTGATGCATCGACGCTCAAGTCTGAAACTACTATAGAAGGTTAGTTCGGTTATTCGAGGCATTGTTGCTTAGGTGGTGTTGTCGTCGTCGCTTTTTTGCATTCACGTTGAGAGGTGCAGATTTTTCATGCAGAAAAAACATGATGCTAAGGTGCTAGTTGCAACTTTTTGAGACGTCTTCTTTTATTTGTTAGCTTACTTTCAATCAATCTTTGACTTCAGCACATTCGAAGCGGATTCGAGCACTAGCTTTTCTACCCAATGACGACGAAATTCTAACAGGCTCCGATGACAAAACAATAAAGCTGCATTCCGTGTAAGTCCATATCATTTTGCTGCAATTGTACACCTTCCTACGTTTACCTCAAACATTTCTTGGTTTCTGTCATTTATACGTAGATGGAATTATCATCATTGATAATGTTTTCAGCCAATAAGTGCTTGTTCGATTAGTAACCACTTCTTCTCAGACAATCAAAGGCTCTTAGCGGGCAGCCACAAAGCCACCACCGAAGCCCAGCAAAAGCGCCGTGACCTTATCGCCTCACTGTCGCTTCCCGCTGAGAACCGTGCTAGAACTGGCAGCGAGCGGGCTGCTATAAAGTCTTCAGCGCGAAACGAAAGTGGCGGCGATAAGACGGCGCTTCTGGTGGGGTTTAGCGGTGGCTTTGTGGCTGCCCGCTGAGAGCCTTTGATTGTCTGAGCTGATGCTTTTCATCTCTCAAATGAAATATGATCGAAGTTCAGCTTGCAAATTTTTCATCATTTGTTCCATGAATTGTCATAGGTTTATTGCACTAAAGATAATTGCTCTCTGACGGAAAAGTTCAGTTGCCGATTCTGTCTAAAAGAAGCTGCTCAGTAACGTGCCATATCATATTACTGTTTGCCACATCATTACTACCAGTCGGAGATAGGATCAAGCGTTCTCTTGCGCTTATGATGTCAGACTGGTGCTTCTCCCAACTCGGTAGCATTGAAAATCTTGGAGTCTCAGAGAAAAGGCCTTTATTGACGCACCAAATAACAGTATGTTGCATTGGGTGATTATGTCATCAATAGTGCTTATATGACAGCCTTTATAGAAGGATTACCTCCATCAAGCATCATAACTCCATTGCGCAACAGTGAAGCATTGTAAGACTTCAAATAAGAGATACTGGAGAAGAATCATGTATCATTACACAACCACGTAGGCTGTCTTCTGCACATTGCTGACAATGCACATTTTTCTGCAGTGGAGGAGAGCGGCCCAAAGTCGAACGAATCTATTGTGGTCATCGGAGTTCGGTGCTATCACTCGCTATTGACGATCGCGCTGATGGAAGTCGGTTTGCCAGCAGCAGTCTTGATGGACAGGTATACTTAATGTTTTTATTTATTCAAAAAATAGCTTAGCTCTAAAGTTTTCCATACTGCTTTTTTCAAGGTACGTTCGAGAACAATCAATTTGAATGTTTTCTAAGGAAATATGTTTGCCCACTGTATCAACCACCATCTCAAAACCTTTGTGTTTCGAATGTAAATATGGGATAATTGGGGCTAAAGTGAAATATTTACGCGGATTTCGTGGTGAGCTGTAGCCAATTTTAGGATTTTATGGCTCCCGGTTTAACAATCTTTTCGGTGCTTTCAAAACGGTGAGATCCTGCAAAGGCATGAGAGCAGCATTCCCTGCATGTTAGCAAATCATACTCATGCTTCCACAGCCCTTTGGATGTGCGCTGGTGACTTGATCTCGTTAAAGTGTTTAAAAGGAAAGACTAGAGAGTAGAAGCTAAGTGTTCTCATAAACTTGTGTTCTGTGATATCCTAATGTCATGTTTATCCAAAACCAAACGTATATATGTTTTCCTTCCCAAGGTTCTTACAATTCAAGGATACTGGTTGAACTGACGTTCCCATACAAAATGTATACTGTCTTATAGGGAAGGAATGCTGATTTCAAACTTGTTTTCGGTACTGCAAAACGCTTCTGGGAGGGTCATGGAAATTTTTTTGAGGCAAAAAAGCACCGCTACAGTAAAATCATTCAGAGATTGGGTCCGTGAGCTCTAATGGGGTGCCTTCAGTCCAAGAAACTCCGGTCATTATTCGTTTCAAGCAAAGGAACGACCTCAACACCTGTTATACCTTAGTCGAATCACTGAATTTTTACTTCGAGAAATTTCCAGAACTCCCCGTTCGGAAGCGCAAATGATGAAAGCAAGCTGGAACCAGCTTTCCATGCTCTGTAAGGCAGTTTACATTTTATATGGAAACGCCACTTTTGCTAAGTAATAACCTTACCTTGTCAATTATGATTTCGTTATTGTGCAGCTCTTTACACTCGAAGTGTTATACTTTCGAATATAGAACTAATTTTGAAGTTTTTTCCTTTTACTTGTTTGCCTTGAATTCATGAAAAATAGACGGATTCATTTTGAAAAATATGCAGAACGTGTTTTGTTTCGCCAAATGCTTTTTGGAAACAAGATTTTTGAGAATTTTGAGGAAAGTCTTGATGTGACCTTACTGCACTTCATCCTAGCAATACCATTAGAGAACTTCCGCTCTGTATAGTAATAGTTAGCTGGTTTAATTAGTGATAGGAAAACAACGTGGTTTTGTAAAAGAGCTAGAATGGTTTGAATAAGTCCCTCCTTTTTCTGGAGAACTAGAAAGTACTTTCAGCTTTTTTTGTGCAGTTTATCCTCAATTCCGTGCTCGATAGCTCAACTGTTCCGACGACCTCTGCGCTAGATTCTTTCATGTTACCTACAAAAGTTTTGTATAGGCAAATTTTCCTTTTCAACATCTCTTATTACGTACTAAGAACTTTTCGTAGGAAATTACTGTTATTAAAAGTTGGGTGTGAAGAACGTGCATTAATTATGGATTTCCCTGTTACATCTCCAAAAAAAACGTTTTTGTTTGAATGTGACTATTTTGACATGGAATGTCTCAACATATTCACTGGTTGTTAGCTTTATATTTGGTGAGAAAAAGTGTGACTTTTGCACTGTCAGTTCAGAGAAGCTCGGTGCTTCCATCACAGCTTTTTTCTTGATGGCGGGAGCCTATCTGAAAATTTGTGCATCGGCGCTACCAGATACTGAGAAAAAAGTTTTTCAAATGGCCTCCCACCGACATCCTTCCCACCAGTGGCTACTGCTCCCGTCCCCCTCCCGAGAATGGGTCGCAAAATTTTTAAATTTACTTGCATGAGTTACGTAGACGTGCAAGTAACTTGTCTATACCTGAAATAATTAAAGGCACCGTCCACCTAGATTTTCGACTTCCAAGTTTTTGTCGTTTCAGGGCCTTCTCATGTCCCTGATTGATGAGGTCCTCGTGCATCTTCGCTAATCCGAAGCAATTTTCTAGCTTCCGAAGCGGCACTTTGCGCCGCCACGCATTGGATTGATAGAGGGCACTACTATTATATGCTGCCGAAAGCTCAACACGCTCAACTTGGGGTGGACGGTGCCTTCAAAATAAATAGATTTGTTCAGGGGGCTGACGCCACCCCCCTTTTTTTCTAAAATTTCGGGCTTATGGGCCCCGGAAGTTTTAGGAAGCATATCAAAAAATTTCTCGGAGTGCATGGCTAACGCCACGTACCCCCATCAAGAAATTTTTTGTGGGGTTGGAGGAGATCTGATTGTCTGTGACTTTTGATTTTGTTTTTTGGTCAGTCATTTTTTTACTCAATGATTGACGAAGTACCAGAACTACTTTCACAGCGATAGTTTTTGCAGATTCTTTTATGGCATATTGAACAACCTACCGCACTCCAACAACTTCCAAGCCCGCACACTGGTTCGGTTAGTTCTTGCACAGTATTCGTGTGAGACTAATTGTTGTATGAATATGTTTTGGTGCATCTCTAATTCTAGGTCACTACTGTCGTATTTTTGCCCACTGGTCGCCATCTTGTTTCTGGTGGAGAAGATGGCGTAGTGGCTTGTTACCGGATCCCTCAAGCTGGTATGATGTCGCCTGGGAACATCGAGCATGAGGAAGAGAATAATATGAGTACGTTTTCGTGAGTTTTGATTTACCATCAGGAAAAACTGCATCTTCCAGGCTTTCTAAACCAGAGGGACGAAAATGAACCTATGGATATGGATCATAGTAATGGTTGAGTTGAACCTTCATAGTTATGTTTTGATGATCTCAGAATAAAATGTTTCTCTTGATTATTTACCTTTGAATTACAACAGCTACAATTTTTGTTAAAAAAAAGAAACACGACTTTGATAGACTCTGTGGTTCGATGTTGTAACGGCCCCTGTAAACCCACTGATAATATTCTTCTGTACCTTTTGATTCAATGGGATTGGCAAGTGTAAGGCGACGGGGGCGACCGCTCGCGCTAGCGACACAGTCTGCGTCTCTCTTGCGGGCGTGATCTCTGACTAGCCTTGATCAGGCCTCAAAGCCCGCCTTCCAGCCGCCAATCTCGTTGAATTGAAGGGTAATATCCTGGAGAGCTTACAGTGGTTTGTTGAATTCCCATAGTTCTCTGTTTACCATATAAAGCGAACAGTACATGGGTCAGTGGATGTACGGGTGCCCGAGAAGTTTGGGCGTCATGTTTTTTGTTTGCACAATTTTCCATACGAAATGAAACTCTGTAAATCTACTTTTGCACGATTGCGAAACGGCGACATCTCGAAATGCTATTGTTGAAGAATGGGCTACTGCACTTGCTTGCAGACTTAGCACCTTATCTTAGCTAATGCGCCAGAAAATGCTATATAGAAACTGTAATTTTCACGACATTTTGGTCAGGAATCGAGTACAAAAGCATGATTTGTGGTTAGCTTAGTCTGAGAAATAGGACTATGCACTGACAGCAGTAATTTTCTCATTCCCAAGTTAAAATAAGTGCCGCGCAGTGTTTACCTCAGACAATCGACCGGACCCCTCCGCCGGACAGTCCGAATCTGCCAGAGTCGCGCCGGACCCAGTTGACCAATGAGAGCGGGGCAAATGGGCGGTCCGTCGCGGTGACATCACTGGCAGGCAAATGGGACGCTTCTCCGGCCCTGCTGCAAAGGTACGCCATTTCTCCGGCGCTGCTCTGCCAGATTTGGCAGAGCCGCGCCGGAGAAAATTGCTCGGCGCGAGCCCGCCAGATTTGGAAGAGCCGCGCCGCAGAAAATGGGAGGGGTCCGGAGCACAAATGGGAGGTCTCCGGAGCAGAAATGGGAGGTCTCCGGAGCAGAAATGGGAGGGCTCCGGCGGACGAGTGGCAGACCCACCGCTGGGGAAACGCCGCGGCCCTGCCATTTCTCCGGCGGAGGGGTCCTATCCGTTGCCTGAGTACCATTTGGTAGCAGGTTCCGGCTCGCAACAGAGCGATTCAATTTCCACGATTTCATATCTTGTAGAGATTTATGAACTACATACATATTAGGTGTTATAGTTGAAACGACCGAACAATCTCGTCGAACGAACGAATATCGAATAATCGGCCTTTAAAAAATATTCGAACGAACGAATACTGTTCGCTCTATGATTTTCAGATTGTTCGAATTCGAATATTCGAACAATGCTACATTTCAAAATTCGAAAGAACGAATATTCGAATAAACGGTGTTGGTCGGATATTCTGAAAATCAAAATCAATCAAAATCGTCCAAACGAATATTGTTCGCTGTGTGATTTTCGGAATAGTCCAACCGCATTTATTCGAATATTCGTTCATTCGATTTTTGAAATGTAGCATTCGACTATTCGAATATTTGAATAATCATACTTGTCCTAATATTCGACTATTCGAATTTATCGAATAGATGGATTTTCTTCATTCACTATTCGAATATTTGTAGTCGAATATTTTGAATGAATCATTCGAATACGGATATTCGGTTACAACTGTATTAAGCATCATAATAGAGTGTCTACAAGAAAGAGGTACAGTCCTGTTCAACCCAAAGTAGGCAAAACATTCCAAGTGGAGCAGCGCGTCCGCACCGTAGCTGGCTCAGCGAGGTAGATTAAAATGAGGAGACGCAGACTGCAAATCAGCACGCTCGTGGCCAAGGGGACTGCCGCCAATCCAGTTTCCGCCTAAACTGAGTTGGAACTTACTATATACTGAGTGTTGCCACGCCCATAATTATTGACCACTAGCTGGCTTACCCGGCTCCGCCGTATGTTCCGAATAGAAAATTCCATTTCTTAACCTATCCGAATCAAACTTGGCACACGTACACTTCGGGCCCCGGCGGGTGTCACAGTCCATTTTCGTTATCGATTGATGGCGATTTTATCAATTTTTTTGCAAAATTTGAGCTAGGGGGCTGGGATTTGGCACAGGGGGGTAATCGAGCATGCTGATTACGAGCACAACATTAGTTTTCGAAATCGTGCATTACTTTTATCGATATCGATTTTTTGCAAAATTTGAGCTAGGGGGCTGGGATTTGGCACAGGGGGGTAATCGAGCATGCTGATTACGAAACAATATTAGTTTTCGAAACCGTGCATTACTTTTATCGATTTTTTGCAAAATTTGAGCTAGGGGGCTGGAATTTGGCAGAGGGGTGTAATCGAGCATGCTGATCATCCCCACGGGGGTGATTATCATGCTCGATTACCCCCCTGTGCCAACTCCCAGCCCCGTAGCTCAAATTTTGCAAAAAATCGATAAAATCGATAAAAGTAATGCACGATTTCAAAAACTAATATTGTATTCGGAATCCCCATGCTCACTTACCCCCCTGTGCCATCTCCTAGCCCCGTAGCTCAAATTTTGCAAAAAATCGATAAAATCGATAAAAGTAATGCACGATTTTAAAAACTAATATTGTATTCGGAATCTCCATGCTCACTTACCCCCCTGTGCCAACTCCCAGCCCCGTAGCTCAAATTTTGCGAAAAATCGATAAAGTCGATATCGATCGATGACGAAAAGTAGCCTATGACACCCGCCGGGGCCCGAAGTGTATGTGTGCCAAGTTTGGTCCGGATCGGTTCAGAAATGGGATTTTCTATTCGGAACATACGTACACACAGACAGACATACAGACATACATACAAACAGACATTCAGCTTTATATATAAGATCCTGTAGTGAGGAACTGGCTGGAATCATTATATACTTGCCCAACTAACGCTGCCAAAAGTTGCTTCCAAAGCAAGGAAATTGCTTCAAAAGCGCTTCGGATGACGGCCACGTTGGCGCCGCCCTCCTCCTTTTATGTGGGCTGGCTTCGTCGCGCCTATCCTTGCGCATCCAACCAATCATCGCTCCAAAGAACTCGCCCTGCAGTTCTGCGGAACTGGGATCGTGGTTTTTCACGGTTTTCCGACTTGATATTCGAACTCAGGGACATGAGAAGGCCCCGGAAAGACAAAAACATGGAAGTGGAGCGTTTGGGTGAACGGTGCCTTAAGGGGCCAACCATGTACTTTTTCGTCCCGGCTTATTCTCACTACCGTCGGTGGAAAGTGCTGTTTTGAACCGTTGATCTTTCGCAGTCGACTCTCCAGTCGATTGGCTCGGGGCCAAAGCGGCGGAGCGAAGCGGCCCGAGCCTTAGAAGGGATGGATGGTCATCCAGGCATTTGGACACATACGAAGTGGTGGTCTATTTTTCACATCCGTATTCATTCGACTTCTACGATGGGCGACGATGGACGTCAATCGCCACAGGACACGTACGAAGAGTTACACGAGGAAGAGGTGTTTGCGGAGAAAATGGCATCGGGACAATCCGAATCAATTCCATTGGATCGACGCGATCTACGGAGCGTTCTGGACGCTATCAGGTCGGAAAACCAGTTTCCTTCAACCTCTTCTGCATCTACCTTCAAGCGTGAAAGGTAAGCACGTCAACACGATTTCAACTTGTCGATTATTAGAAAACTTGTTCCTTTCCAAGATTGCCAAGAGCTAGGCGCTGTGATCTCTTCCGTCATCCAGGATCTAAATGTAAGAAATGAAAGCTTGACAATTGCTGATGATCATTTGGTGTTTTCCAGTTTTTAGATAATATACAAATCAGAGTCTCTTAGAGTTACGGATTCAGGGCTGAGTAAGTTTCTCGAATCCTAAAACCTAAAGAGAAGTCTACTTCAAGGAAGAAAAAATCGGCTCCGAACCTCCCTTGCAAAAGCGGGACAGCTTGGCCACCTGCTTCCTGCTCTTTCCAGAACGAAGCCGAAGGCCACTCGTCTTTCTCAAGCTACGACAATCGCTTCAAGACCCTGTATGAATACTAACCGTATTTCGAAAAAAGCCGCATGCGCAGACAGGAGTACTCCCGCCGCATTGCTCGGATTACAGGTGAAGGCGATTATCCAACGATGGCGCTCACAGCGGAGCTGCAAGAAGCCTTGGACGAATTGGACCGGTACGACGACACCCATCTCGCACCCAAGCTGAACGCGCTGGAGCTCCTGTGCAGGACGATTCGGAGCAGAACAGCAAGATCCTGGTGTTGAACGTGCAGATCGTGGCCAGAACCAGCGGATCCTGGAGCGCACCTCCCAAAATCAAACTGCACATTCTGCAGTGTGGGAGAGAACCGCGACACCCACTTCTCGGGTAGGTGTGTTCGTTTCAGGGATCCAATCGCCAAGGCAGCTCAGGAAGCTGGGGCTCTGCCTGCTTTGCCTCAAAGCAGTGCACGAAGACGAGTGTGGGGTAAAGTGTGGGAATTGTGGTCTCGGTAACAGTTTTCTCCTTTGCTCCAGCAGGCGAGCCCCACATCCGCCATCGAAACTTCCACGTCATTGAAGTAACGGTGCAATAAAATCATCGTCTCAAGCTGCTCAACAGTTCGCTGAAGCGGTTTCCAAATTTGGCGTATACAAAGAACCAGAGGAATAAAGATTTGGAAATGAAAAGGGCCTTCTGTATATGAATTATCAAACGCTTATATCACTAATTTATACGCCTATATTACTCACTTATATCCTCGCCTGTATACACGGTCTTTTTCACTTAGCATGATATGTCGTCTGTTCATAGCCAATAAACGACAAAATAAGGATGTTCGAGATTTCAAAGAAAATGTTTGCCGGAAATGAAAAACAAGCTAATTTTGTATCGTAATAAGCCGTTACGCTTGCAGTGAAGCGTACATTTTGAAATTTGCATGATAGATATGATATTATTTTGTTGAGTCCCACTACCAATCTTTCTGAACGATATAGTATACACATGTTATTTGTATGATACACATACGTACTGCCACATATCACATGCGGGTAAACATATAAACTTTTTTCAAGGGTTCAAACTTTACAAAAAGGACTGTAAAGATTAGGAATAACGTTCTCAAGACCAATTCATCTGCAAAAGGAATCAAAAGAGTACAAAGTCAAAAAACAATTCAACAACAAAGAAGGCTTCCAAAAATTAGAATATCGTCGACTTCCTAATCTTTTCACAAACAGCACAGAGGTCGCGAAAAGAAGCAATCCTCTTTGTAACCGACGACTACTTCTGCTATTACAAAAATTGGATAAAGCACAAACGACATTTGAAACATTTGCAAAATGACGTCACTGGAGCAATATCTTCTTTCCAGTATCTGCGCTGGTAGTAAAAATGAGAGTTTATATAGCTGCCCTCATGCGATCATTTTCACCTCTCCTATCTCATATATATTACACCAAGCTTGCCGATAGTGATTTGTATGTAAGAGAGTAACTCTGTCGCTCTGGGACCCGCACGATGAAATAGTAGTGACTCCGCGATGATATGTTGTAAACAAACAATGCGCTTCGAGACCAGCATTTCGAAATAGACATAGCCCTCTTATGGTCACTTCATTGTCAGTGTACTCACACTGTATCTTACGCTCCAACTTCATCAGTCTTCACTCCTACTCCATGTCTCTTCTCAAGTAGTTTATAATTGAGCTCCACGATCACACCCTTCCAGGCAACTCATACGCACCTTCCAATGTTAGATGCAGATAAACTCTCAACCTCAAAAGAGAGAAAGGGAAAATTTCTCAAGGTGACAAACTTCCTCATGACTGATCTACATGTTTTGCAGAGTTGCACACTCCTAAAGAGGAAAAGCTAATGAGGCGCACCGGCTATTGGGCTGAGCTTACAGCCCAAGAGCAAAAAAACAACAGGGAAGGTTAGCCCTTTTGTCACTTCTTCATCAAGTACCTAAACTTATCAGAACGCACCCGAGGGAGGGAGAGCTGAAGCGGGTAGGGGGCCTGAAATGGCTGGGGCAATCGAGGAGATGAAAAAAGCGCTTTATCGCAATACAGTGGTCTTAAGTGGAGTCAAACTTCCCAAAGGTATATATGAGCATTTTTCATAGGTATAGGTAACAAGTATCATTTCAGTTCGCGGGCCGACACTTTCACAAACTACTTCAGACGCCTGGGGCTGCAATTTTACCCAGCTATAATTCGTCGAATTGATACCCTCGAAGGACATCGCAGATAGGAACACTGTGTTAGCTGAACTTCGAAAAAAATAGATTCGGGATAGTGAATTTCAAACGCGAGAAGTAGCACTTAAAAGTATGAACCTTTTTCTTGCAGCATGGCCGCAACTTTCTATGCAATGCGCCATCCGATGCTGGCTGACGGTGGGTTTGCAATTACCAATGATGCTTCATATTCATAAAAACTTGTCAAACATCCACACCCTTCGTGGAAATAATTCCCGTGCTCCGTATCAGCCACCACTATACTCGCAACCACAACCCCCACAACAATACGCGCCATTACTACGCCAGTCGCCGCAGAACCAGCCGCCACATCAGCCGCCATCGCAGCCGCAAGAGCAGATAGCTTCCAAGAAAAAACGAACATCCGCGGAAGAAGAACAAAGTAAGCATCAGCTTACCTACAATTTCACGTAGATATCACGATAATTCCATTTTAAACTCAACTCAACACACAGATTGAACCTCCTTCGCCAGTTATACAAAGCGAAGTTGATGAGTGAGTTATTTATTCATTACATGAGTAACGCTGCAATGGAATCATCGTCTCAAGCTGCTCAACAATTCCTGAAGCGGTTTCCAAATTCGGTGTAGAAGAAGAACCAGAGGAATAAAGATTTGGTAATGAAGGGGGCATTCTGTATATGAATTATCATGCGCTTATATCATTAATTTATACGTCTATATTACTCACTTATATCCTCGCGTGCATATACTGTCTTTTTCACTTAGCATAATATGTCGTGTGTTCATAGCCAATAAACGATAAAATAAGGATGTTCGAGAATCCAAAGAAAGTGTTTCCCGAAATAAAACCAAGCTGATTGGTATCGTAATAAGCTGTTACTCTTGCAAGTGAAGCTACATTTTGAAATTTGCATGATAGATATGATATTATTTTGTTGAGTCCCACTACCAAGTCCACTTAAACATCTTTGTGGACGGTATATTATACACATGTTAATTGTATAATATACATTTACTGCCACATATCGTATGCGTGTAATAAACAGTGTAAGAAAATTTTCCAAGTACTCAACTTTGCAAAAAGAATTGTAATTAGAAATAACGTCCTCAGGAACAATTCATCTGCAAAGGGAATCAAAAGAGTACAAAGTCACGATGAACAATCGACTTCCAGAATTTAGATCGTCGGCTTACTAATCTCATCACAAACAGCACAGAGATCGCGAAAAGAAGCAATGCTGTTTATAACTGACGCCTACTTCTGCTATTACAAAATTTGGATAGAGCACAAATGACATTTGTTTAAAATTTGCAAAATGACGTCACTGGAGCAATATCTTCTTTCAAATCTCTGGCTGGTAGTAAAAATGAGTTTCTATAGCCCTCATACTATCATTTCCACCTCTCCCATATATTAACCAGACTTAACGATAGTGATTCGTACGTAAGAAAATAACTCTATCGCTCTGGGACCCGCATCATGATGTAGTAGCCACTTCGTTATGATACATTGTAAACCAATGCGCTTCGGGACCAGTACTTCGAAAGAGAAATAGCATTGGCCACTGAATTGCCGAATACCGATTGGAATGATCCGATAAAGAGGTTGAAAGAAGTAAATGGGGTTACAGAATCAACGATCAAAATGATATCGTCATTTATTTTTTGGAAGTTACTGCAAATGTAATCGTGCTGTCTAACGTGGGCGCTAGAAAGTTGAAGGACGAAAAAAGCCAATGATATTTGTGCTATATCGCATAGTATGGTAAAAATCGAACATATTTTACCATGAGGCAAAGCTGTGATGTAGATGTAGATGTAAATGGAAACGCTGGTGGATGTATGTGGTGAAGTTGCAGCTGGTTGAGGGGTGGAAGTTGGTGAAGTTGAATGTAGTATATCAGATACAGTGATGTATGTTCATGAATGTAGTAGAGGTGACTATGAAGAAAGAAGTCGTAAGATGGAAACTTATGATGTGAAAAAGAAAATGTGTGATATATTGTTGGTGTTGTAGTGTGTTGTCATTCTTTGAGCTTCTGTAAAGAGCAGAAGGGTAGTGAATTTGCGTGAAGCAAAATCCATCGCTTGTGCTTGCGGATGATGCGACTCTTTGAATGTGGTCTCATCGTTGTGTGATGATCTGGTTATCGTTTTCATTGCATTCTACCATAGGTATTAAGAGTAGTAAATGTCTGCAGGTTTCATAGTGTTTTACCTGCATGTATCTGAGATACGGAGTTGATTACGGTACCAATCCTCAGTTTTTATCGTTGAAAGTCTTGTAGTTTTCTATGCAAAGTTTGTAGCTTAATCTGTTTTTTCATTCCTTTGGGTTGACATAAGTTCTTGTTTCGTGAAAGAATTTCAATGCGATACATTATGTTGTTCTTTGAGATCATCTCAGCCGAAAGGAATGATGATCTGCAGTCTATCGTTGTGCGTATTTATGAAACAAATATTGCCTCAAATTCAACTGGAAATAGGTGCAATACGAGTTAGTCATGGATGAAAAACTATGAACATTTTTTTGCGATTTCATTCATTTTGTCTTATATGTGTTTTACAGATTGCCTACTCATTTGTAGATAAATTGCTCATTCTTTATTGCTTGTCAAACGCATAGCCACGTGTAGTTTTTGGTAACAATGCCTTCAAATGTACGCTTAAACATTGTGTGTTCCGAATAGAAATTTTTATTTCTGGATCGATCCGGACCAAACTTGGCACACATACACTTCGGAGCGGAGCGTGTGTCACAGGCTACTTTTCGTCATCGACCGATATCGATTTTACCGATTCTTATCGATTTTCTGCAAAGTTTGATCTACGGGGCTGGGAGTTGGCATAGAGGGGGGGGGGTAATCGAGCATGCTGATTACGAATACAATGTTAGTTATTAGAACCATTCAATACTTTTATCGATTTCATCAATTTTTTTGCAAAGTTTGAGCTACGGATCTGGGAGTTGGCGTGGGGTAAGTGGGCATGCTGATTACTACAACAGAGGGGATATGGCATGTAGACGTGGGCACAGGGAAAGGTTGTAGAGGGATAGCGATAAGCTTTATCATGCTGTTTTGACAGGGCCGGAGCCGAGTAAGAAAGCTAGTAATATCTAAGGTCAGAAAATCTAATCGAACAATACTTCTGAAACGTTATAAAGTCGTTCCGAAAGTAAGTCCTTTTTCAAACGCCACACTTGGTGGAACAAAGTTAGTTGAGCAATCTTGGTAGCGTTCGATACATCCCCCTCTTTTCAGTGATTATAAAATTTTTGCAGTGCAGTCAATGAGCTCTCGGAAAATTACCAAAATCTGCGACCCTGCCTTTTGAGATGGTAAAGTTACAACTTTCTCAAACTTAATTTCATTCCTCCGAAGGAGTTCGAGTTACAATTCGATAGAGCAAACCTTAGCGTACAACTTTTTTCTCTTTTTCGTATCCCGCCATGACCTTTTTTAAAAGATTTTTTTACTAAAATGATCGAATTTTGGCAGGCCTAGATCAGCCATAACCACATTAAAAGTCAATAATTCATCGGGATGTGAAAGTTCCAAAAGTGCTTTGATAACACTAATTTTACAAAGCAAATGAAAGCTTGCGGACTCGGAGTATCAAATTTCGTGTTTTCGGGTACAGCAACATGATTTATGATGATTTTGACCCCGTACTTTCCACGAATCGGAAGCAAAAAGCACCAGTAGTAAGAGGAAAAAAACTGCATCGAGTAGTACTCTCGCTGCTCTCTCTTTGATGTTCGAAAGGTTTTACCTGACCAAGTATGGAAATTGAAGCGTCAGTGGGCTCTTTTGGAGGGTTGATATAAAAGCTTTAAAAAATTGTGAAACATTGCTATTTTAAAAAACCCTGGGTCACAGAACTGGGCCACTACGACTTTATAATCATAGAAAGAGAATGAGTTGCTGCATCGAAAGCTATCAGGATGTCTTAGAAGTCTTTGTTCCACGAAATATGGCGTTCTTTTTTTTGAAGCGACATTACTTTCGTAACAACCTAATAGTAAATATAAGCTACATGTGATGTTGTATGTGTACATTGTACGCAGAATTCTGCCACTCATGTAAGTGTCACAGCAATTGCACGTAAGGCATTTATGAGGGACAAAATCACTGATTTTCTCAGATCAGATCGAAGCTGGTCTGGAGGCTCATTCGACATGATGATCACAAAAGTTGTACATAGTGAGCGAAAGGGCCTTTTGTAAGAGTACGTTGAAATGGTGAAAGAAGTAAAACCATTTCTCACCGTGGTAACAGTCGAGTATACAGGATGTCCCAAAAAGATGTGTACACTATTTGATCGTCAACAACTCTCTTGCTTGAGCGTTTTTCGCCGAGCTTGACCATTCTGAAAAGTGAGGCTCATCTTTCAATTAAATCTGCACCATGGAACGAATCTCCGAGCTTTCTTCGTTACTGTAGGATTACAGTAGAAACTTTAGGAAGGAGATTTTAGACCATTCAAGCAATGTCATGCCTCAGATGGAAAACTAAACAAGCCAAAAACTCTTGTAATGACTAATCGAAGTCGCTGATTTTGAATATGAAATTTGCAATTTACTGCAATGTTTCGTCAATTATTTCAGGGTTAGGGTAACAACAGTTTTTCCATTGTTCGTGAGAAATGTGCACCACTAAAAAACTCGTAAAACTGGCAAGAAGTGGTGTAGTGAAATCAGCACGCCTGAAAACCTTGCTACACAATCCAGAGTTTGTAGAATTTTTTCGTCAAAAGGTGTATTCCACAATGGCGTTGTACGCTGAAAGTTCTTACCTTAATCTAATAAAGAAGGAAGATCGGAGACTCATTCAACGCTGTAAATCTAAGATAAACCTCGCTCTACTAAAGGTATTTCAAGCTTGGCGAAATACGTTCAGGCAAGAGTTATTGACGATCAAACAGTGTGCACTCTTTTTGAGACACCCTCTATTTCTAGCTGGTCAAATTATGCCATTATGCAAAGTCCGGGCTGTGACATCCCGACTTTTTGGCATTGACGAACTTTGGTACAGTGTTTGGGTTTCCCTTGTTCGACTTTTTGAGAACGCCAGATCTCTATTTATCTTCAGCTCCCATTTCTTTTGTATCAAGCTCACTCTTACACCTCTAGTAACTCTTGTCTACGATGATGGCTCCACGTGCTGGTTAGCTTAATTCTTGCTTTGAGATTGTATTTTGAATCTAGTCTTCGGAAATTGCGTGGTTCTTTTCCATCTTTCTCGCTTTAGAACCGCAAGACCTTGAGTCCCCCAGATTTTCAAGAATTGCTTTTTCTTGCAACGAAAAAGCAGACAGTTTGTGCACATCTGTAGCTCAATAGTTCACTTCACAATCCATCATGCCAAAATTTGGCTGCTAGAGAGAAGGGTTTAACATGCCAAAATAATGCGTTCCGTCTCAGGTTTCACCTGAAATAAGTACAAACGCATCTGCAACGACACTCTACATACCCGGAGGAAGGTTTCTGTTTCTTCCGAAAGATGCAGGTAATCTTCCGAGAAGAATGAAAACTGTTGCGGCTCAGAATTTGTCATGTTTCTATCTCGAAATAACTTATTGCTAATGGTCATAATTTTTGTGGAATGAGGCCATACTTGCTGCATGTATAGAATTGTCAGTTTAATAGGTTTAACACACTACACTCTTCGCATTTTATGTCAGCTTGTTTTTCCTTATTGAAACGTCAGCTCCAAGACTTAGTGAACAAGCATCAAGGTATTATCTATCAAGTTTCAACGAAGCCTTAATCAAGTGAGCAATTTGTTTCGGTTACAATAGTCTTGTCCTTGTTTAAGTATCAACACGTCGATATCGCATGATTTGTAAGCGCATTATGTAATATGGTTGGTTTTCTGATAGAATTATACCTGTGAAAGGCTATTATGGTTTGCTCCTGCTTTCATCACATGATCAGCTTTAGCATCTGATGATTCTAATCGCATTAAATAGTTTGATGATTTTCCAAGACGGTCACAAAGGCAGGTGAGCAGAAAATTCTGTGTCACAATTTACTTCGTAAGCACAGAATGCGAGTGAACACTTTTACCATCCGCGAACAGCAACAAAACATCAGTTCTGAAGAGTAGTATAAGCGGCGGAATCGTTTTGGTTGTCAGAAAATGTATTTTTATTTACCATCCCAATCATTGTAGCCCAGGGAAGTGGCTGAGTTCACTGCACAAATTTGCTTTATATATAAATGAGGTCTGGTTGATTTTGGGACTTGCATTTAATACAATGTACTGTTCTCCTAAGTCGAATTGTAAACTCCCAAGGTAGTAGTTTTTTCTACTTCATGAGTTTGCCATGCTAGTTTTAAAATCGTTGAACTCGTTGCCATATTGCAACCGGCTCTTAATGTAATCAGGAATCTCATTAAACCATAAGTGATCTGTTTCTACACATGATTGTTATTTTGAAATCTCACCATCTTTTGCCGATTTGAAAATCATAAAAATGGATGCCACTACGTATAAATCTCTCCAAATGTTGTAAAAAAGCCAAGCTGATACCAGGATTACTTCGGAACTCCTGTAGGTGAGCTTTTCAGGGGTCTCACTGGGACAATGAATATTATTAAAGGCAGTGTCGGCAAATCTGGACACATGGGTTTCTTGTCTGGACACGTCGAGGAATCTCTAGCTAAGGAACTGCCCAAACCGCAGCGCAAATAATCCATTCACGGCTGAGAAATCCATCTACAAACACTCCACTGCTGCGCCGTGACCATAATACTTACAAGGGAATGGTCAGAAATCGAAGTGGCCATTCCAGACAAGCTGCATACCGTTAGATGCAGCATGAAGCGCTGACTCTAAATCTATCTTCCCTACCTGCTTACCGCTTTTCTGGACGAAGCTATAAGCCATTAAAGACCATTATTTTGCTAAGAAATTATGCGTGAAATTGAAAAATTAGCCGTACAGAGCCACGTTTGCCTCAATGCTCGGCCAAAACATGTCGCTAGCTTACTTGAAATTTTTGAAGCCAGAAACTGAGCTAAAAGCGCAACAATGTGCTTTTTTTCCTCTGTTTTTATGTATGATTTTTTCACAATAAAACCGCTTGTAGTTTCGTCCACAGAAGCGGGAAGCAGATAAGGAAGACAGATTCGAAGTCGGCGTTTCATACTGCATCGAATGGTATACAGCTTGTTTGGTTTGGCCACTTCGACCTCTGACCATTTCCTTGTTAGGATTGGTTGCAGCGCGAACGTAGTGTTAAAGTGAGTGAAGTATTTTTAGGTTACGGTCACGGCGCAGGCGCGGGATTATCGGGGATGGATTTCTCAGCCGTGACTGAACAATTTGCGCTGCCCCTTGGGCAGTGCCTTAGTTAGAACTCCCTCATCAATTTCCAGGCGAAAGAGCCATGTGACCAGATTTGCCTGGACACTGCCTTAAACAAATGTTAAACATGAGTAGACATATGTTCTACTGCCTGTAAATTACTACACGTGAGGTCTCATCATAGAATAAGCGAGTGAGTTTCTTCAGTAGTAGCGATACTTGACGAAAGCATTGCGGTCTTGAATGTTTTCCATGGAAGGAAATTCGTGGTGTGTGCCACATTTCTGGGTATCCTGAGCAGCAGGATACCCATAAAAATGTATCATCGGTTCGCTCCGAAATAGCTAAATGAACAACTTAGGGAAAGAGAAGAACTTAGGCCTGTCAAATTGGGAAAATGCCTTGCTGCCCGTACCTGTATGACGCTTTTCAATAACAATACATTGGAAACATCATAATTTTGAAGGTCATGGAAGGAGCGCAAGTTCAGCTCAGACGGAGGAAGAAGCGTAGTGCAGATTTCGGCTTATGTTTTCTTGATGATTGTGGACGGCTTTGTGGTTGCCCTGAGTTGATCCCTAATTTATAGCAGCTCCAGTTGCTATTTCAATTACCTTCAAATTCAAGAGATACTAAATTCTTGCCTATGCCATTCTTCTCATGTTTTTCTGGTGTAACTGTGCACCAGTCTAGTAATCCAGCGCACCTAGTCTAACAACCAGCTGATAGACAATCAGCTTAACGAGAGTTCATTGATCCTGGAAAAGACGAATGCTTGTTTGCATTACTGCTATTTTCACCTTTTGGCAATTTTCTACGGCGGCTCTACAGTTGTTTGCTATTATGTCTGCAGGTAAACACCGAGCTAAACGATTCCTTCTCCGCAGGTGCGGCTAGTCGGAAAACTGCGAAAAAAATCACTTATCTCAGACGGTAAGCTTCATCGATGAAATTACTCGCCAGTGATCAGGCCAGAATATCTAATACTCTGAACCGTTCATTGCAAATCAAATAGAACAAACATTCAGCCAATAAACAGCGAGCAACCAGATTTTTGAAGAAGAGAATCACATTGAGAAGCTGTCCGAATATAATGAAATTTTCAAAGTTCTGACTTTTCTAAACATTTTAGCTCAGCTCCCTATTTTTCATGCGTTAACGAGGCAACCTTAGGTTCAAAGCCATAAACATTCTGCTGTTTTGGCAACTTTTGTAAGCCGCTATTGCTGACCATAAAAACATCCAGTATAGAGTGGTTTATGACAAAATTCATGATTCACAGTGTGTGTTTATTCCTCCCTTAGCATGTCGGGTGAAGCAAAATCCTGATAAGCCTAAAGTTGCCAAAGAAGCTAATCCTCTTATCATTATTATTTTTTGCCAAATTTTTCTGCAAGGTTACGGATGGACCAAAGGTTAAGCTGAAAATTCCATTGTTCACTACTTAAATATGAGGGTATAATAGATAAGTCACTTATTATCGAGATGTTTCGCTTTGTGGTTGCTCTCCTTTTAGCAGGTGCAATCTCTAGATCATATTCATAACCATAAGTGAGCTGTTAAGCAGCATTGATTTAGTTGCTTGCTCAGCCGACATCAACGAAGAAGCAATCCTCAACGAGTGCACACGGTGCAACTTACAAAATGTATTTGTAAAACGCCCTGAGGTAAGCGTTGAAGGGTTATTCGTCACATGAAGGCGGTCTCCAGGCAATTCAATTCTTAAAAGAAAACTGATTAGGGGGCCTAACTAAGCCCTGGCCCAGCTGGAAACTCATATGACTCATTTGTGAGCAAGAAGGTTAGATCCAAACTTTAGGACAGACCGTACCTTCCATCGTAAACGAACACGCTTATTGGTCCTCCCGGGAAAAATTACAGCTTGGCTGAATTTCACTGTTGACATGAGAACACTTGAAAGCCTCCCGATAAGTATCCACAAAAAATCCTGGACATTGCCTATAAGCGAAGTGAAACTCAAATTCAATTTCTGTATACCTGAACCCTTGCCTTCAGTTAAGATTGGATCAGAAACTGCTAATATTTGCTAATTCAATTTTCATCTTTTTGCCATGATAAATTTTTCTCGCAGTTCCATGGAATTGTGCCTTGGATCCCTCTCAGTGTAAATTACGTAGTTTTCAAAATTAACTTTGTAAAATCGAGTTTATTATAGGGTCCAATAGACTGCCAGGATGTTTGCAAGGACCAAACGGCATCATGCGAGCAGCTCAAGCTTGCGGTACATAGTATCTAGTTGGAGTTCCATCCCTCCCCTAAACAATCATTTTTCAGATGACAGAACTCGTTGGTGAAGATCTGGTTCGTACCGTCTTCCGTCATTCCTTCATGTACGGGCGATTTTTGAAAAATTGTTTATTCTAGAACCCAGAGGCTGTGGGGGATTTATACGAAATTATGTCAATGTTCGTTGATCCCGGCACCATGTGCGGAAAAGGTAAGATGAGTCCCTGCGAATCTGCTTGCAGAGTTGCTCGTGCTAGCGTCGTGCCGGAAGTTTTGGTGTGGTCGACCGATTTATGTAGCACGGCTGTGGCACGCGGCCACTACACGGACCTTATTCACGCTTCAAGAATGGAAATATTGAACAATAACTACTGAAACTCCGGATGCGATTAGCATAGTTCGTTTTCAGTTCCAAAATCGAAGTACGGACAACAACTGTTCCTGGGCTTGGACTCGACAATTGGCTGCAAAGTGTGCGGCATGGGAACCAATTTCATTTGCAAAACTTTCTTCGAGGGAGAGACATCAGAGAAAATCAACAATGGTTGGTGTTTTCGTCGTATTCGTTTGAAACTTTGAGCTGCTGTCATGCAGTACAGTCTATTGAAAATTCATCAAAAGTAGAAATGTGGAAAAAAATGTGAAAAAAGAGTTCCTTGCAGAATATCGCAATTATAGTAATGTACGATCTGCTGCGAAAAGCTCGAAAACCTGCGTGAATGCATTTCATTTCGCATGTTTGATTATTGTTTAAAGAAAAGCAAAAGCGCTGATATAATCCTTCTACCGTGATCCTCCCTAACTTTTTATGTTTGAAGCGATCGGTTCTGCAGCCAACAAGCTATGCGTTAAGATGAAGCTCCCCAAACTTATTGAGAAGCTCAAGTTCCTGGGCGACTTCGACATTGTAAGTCAAATAACTCTAAATTTATAAATAGAACTCTCCGTGAAGAGCTCACCCAATATTGAGGAACACTCGTTTTTCATTCTTCTAATTTATAGTGCGGCAAGGCTGAAGAAATGGCCAAGAATCTTCTTCCAAAGATTGTGAGCCCATGGTTCTGCGAGAAAGAGAAGGCCTCAAAGATCTGCGGAGTGAGTTATTTTCTAGAATACAGACATATGTTTTGTACGAATGCTATGTATATTTACGTTTTTCAGAAGATGTTCAAAGACTGCACACTGTAATTGCATTTCCATGATGTTCAAGAATTGCAAACTGTAGTCCCATCTCCGTGTATCCAGCCTCCTGAGTAAAGTACTTGCATCCCAACATTTCCTATGCTGCAATTCATATGAAAAAAATATACAGAACATGAACTAATAATATTTGACTTTGACAACTGACATCTGACTTCCACATCTTACTGAGTCAGAAGAAAGAAAGATTAGTGATTCAAACTCTAAGACCAAACACATTAGTGATCCTACGTATAACAACCAGAGTGTCATATGAATGAATCTCATATGCTCCTAAGGCCCGTATGCACGTACATCCCCGCGGGGATGTACGTGCATACGGGCCTAAGAGAGGTTATGGTAGTCACGAAACGTGGTGATTACTAGGATTTTCCCTTCTCATGCAGACATGTATGGGTCACTTTCAAAATCGCGAGCATACAAAAAGGTCTCACCTCAACACATAGCTGAGTAACTTCCAGTGCCTAGATACTATCATACGCAAGCAGAAGGGCTATTCAAGTAGAGATGAAAACCAAGAAAATACAGTCTTCGGAAGTGCGTGCATGTCGCGCGCGGTCGCCGTGATTGTTCGAATGCCCCATATGTTCGCTGGAGATGCGTGAAGCACAAGTAGGTCAAACAAATGTGTGACATATGACAACCCATATTCGGCTGCACCTTGATGCTCCCTTGTGTTCCCATGAAAAATAATACTTAACATCAGTCATGTTCATCAGTCGGAGCTACCGCTGAACACGACCAGGGAATTTGTGGAGGAAGCTCAGACTGTCCCGTACTTCATGCAGTTGCAGTCTCTACCGCTCTGGCAATTTGCGAGGTGTCTTCAAATTCAACAACGGCAGACTATAAATACACACCATGTACAGCTTTCGGAGATTGTTAGCAATGCCCTCTTATGTTACATTTAGTCTGCGCTTAGGTTGAGTTACGGGCAATCGTAGTATTGTCAAATCGCGCCGCGACTGGTATCGTGTAAAGTAGGCCTGGAACCTGAAACGCTTGATCATCAGGAGTGTATGCTAGTCTAAAGGCTATCTCATTCAAGTACCTGGAAAGTCATATCTCAGCAGATGGCACTCTTCATGTTGAACCAAGCAGGAGGAAAGCAGCATGGGTAGATTGGAAAAGTATCACGGGAATCCTATGTGGGTAGTGGATGCCGCAAAACCTCATGTTTCTAATCTACTGTGTAGTGGTTCGACCAAAGCGCTTTATGGGCGAATTTGCACGCAAAAGATTAGTGTAATGCAGATGCAAATGTTGAGAAGGCCGATACGAAATACTATGCTGGACCATATCTCGAGTGATATAGAGCAACGAATATTGCAATTAGTCGATGAGTCTGCTCACAATCATACATCACATAATAAAAATTCACTTACAAGTTGTCACTTCAACTCATCCAAGCTGCGAGCTTTCTGGTAGGCTAATTCAATGAATACAAGTAAGTGAAAAACTTATGGCTGCATAAGTCAAAGAAATTCCCTGTAATAAACGAACTTGAATAGGTGGCTCGAAATTATGCGCTGCGCATATTTCCTCTTTTCCCATGCACTCTCGCCGCTTTTCGTCTGCCTCCTCGTCTAGTCATCAACTATTTCGATGAACCCAACGGCATTACGCTCCTCGGAGAATATGACGGCCTATACTACTGTCGTAACTAGGAAAGATTGCATGATGCTTGGATATTGGCTTGGTTTCCAACAATTCGGAACAATTTCCGCTAGCGGCGCTGGATAACTCCTCATCAAAGGACCGACACGGGCTAAGCTGCAATAAAACGACAATTTTTTACAAGTACTAAACAGCTCACGCAGGCGCAATAGCGCAAATGTTATCATGGACTGAGTAACGATGACCTCAAGAGAGTGTTGGACATACAGGGTGTCCCAAAAAATGTGCCTACTGTTTGATTGTTAATAACTCTCTTGTCATGAAATCTTTCGGGGAAAGACTAGGTACCATTTCGCCTTGCTATAACTTAGATTTACAGCATGGAACGAATTACTGATCTTCCTTCATTACTGTAATATTATGGCAGAAACTCGCAGCATATGACCACTGTGAGATAGCCGTTCGGAAAAATTAAAGTCTGAAAATTTGTGTAACAAGGTCTTCATGCACGTTACTACATAACTATTTGCGTGTTCGCAGAGTTTTTTTTTCAAAGGGACTTATCAAAATCTCGACAAATATCAGAAAAACGTCGTTATGTTATAGCTGGCATAAATTATGAAAAGCATTACGATGAAGTGCGAAATTCATATTTGGAATAACTGATTAATCTAGTGTAAGAGTTTTCAGCTTCTTTAGTTCTTTTTTAGAGGTAAAACATGACCCTCAATTATAAAAAACCCTCTTTAAAGTTCCTACCGTACTCCCATAGTAATGGAGAAAGACAGTTAATTCGCTCCATTCTGTAAATTTAAGTTAAAGCCAGCTCTACGAAAAGCTACCTAAAGATTCTCGAAAGCTCAATGACAAAAGAGTTATTAACAATCAAACAGTAGGCACATTCTTGGAACACCCTGTACATACAATTTTCAAACACTAGGAGTTTTTGGGACACCCTGTATATACAATTTTTCTATGTCATGCGATGCTTTCCTCCTTCTTCACTCACTCGCAACGACTATATGGGCTGCAGTGTATCTATCAGCAGAGGCTTGCGGAGTTGTGTTATGAGGCGCCGCTATGAAAGGCCGAAGTAAGGTTCGATCCCGCGCTTGGGCTTACTAAGTCCTCTACCCTCATGAATTTTGACATTTCTGTCAACCCTGAGCCGTAACTTTGGACTTCTTATGTAGTCCCACCAGACTGGGGTATCTGGCTCTCGTCGTAATGTAATAGTAGACGACAGAAGTTTGCAGCGTGAAAAGGGGTCTACGAAGTCTACAAATCGCCCCTCAAGTGGCCCGAATCTTGCGGTAGGCTCAGGCAAGTGCGAGATGCATGCAAGGTAGAGACGCAGAGTCGTTGCGGGACCCTGCGCTCATGACTGTGTGCACTATACGCACTCTGGCCTTGCAAATTGATATTGCTGTGTGGGCGGCGTCCGGGCCTACCGCAAGATTCGGGCCACTTTCGGAGCAAATTTCAGGCTTGGTGGACCCCCTCCTCCGCTCCGAACTTCAGTCTTCACTTAAGTAGGGGGTCTACTTTAACATCGCCACAAAAACCCGGCATCCATCTTTTTGCCGGTACGCTGCCTTTGATGGGCGAACCAATCTTGACCACCTTACTTTCTGAAGCACTTTCTAGCTCACGAATCCGTCCTTACAGTGGGACTTGCGGAATTACTCGATTGGGAGCCAATTTGCTACAGTATAAAATTTTCGCAATCTTCAATTTGGGTGGGGTTGCCTTCATTTATTGCTTTTGCGCTTTCGTCTGGCAGTAGACCCTTGTCTAATCACTTAAGAATAAGTGGAAGGAGAAAAACTCTGCCTTCTGAACCGCCCTGACGCGCTACTGGTCCTTTTGCAATGCTATTGCATGTGCTGGGTGGGGCAAAAGTCTGGAAGCCTAGTACCTTTTCAGAGAAAATCGGAAGGAAAGTGCCTAGGAAGAAAAAATTTGGTGCACACATAAATCGAACCTTTACTAATACAGCGCCGCTTTCAAATTTTGAGATTGCCTCTTCTGGCTTCAAAGCAGGCCTTTGAAATCTTGGCGAGTCCGACTGTCGTGGCACGCAGACAGTGGTGATGAAATTCGTCCCACGCCTTTACGATAACTGTTTTTTCACCAGGCAAAAGGCGTAGGCGATGTGATAGAGCAGGCTATAATGCACTGCAAAGAAATTTTTTTTCGCAGTGTTTAGGAAAAAATTCGAGATCTGAAAAGTGTTGAAATTGCTTGATCGATCGAACACCAGTACACGCTTGCATAGAAGACTCATGGAAAGAATATAATCTAGAATTGGGGCCTGCTGTGCCCCTATAGCTTTAAAATTTATTCTAAAGAAAAATGGCCGTTGGCACGCACTGGTATTCGCAAATTTTTATTTTGCGTTTCTAAAAGAATAGTATCTGACAAACGCAGAATTGAGAATTGATAGCGCGAAGTCTCCTCCACATTATACGCATCGAAGTGCTTTAGAATATCCACTGTATCGTTAGTTACGAAATAAGTTGTGAAGACCAAAAATTTCGATTTTCTCGTTTTGCAGAACACTTGTTTGATTAATCCAACTCCTAAAAAAATATAGCAAGCATTTTCAGCCAGCCAAAGTGTGTTTTGTAGAGGATGATCGCAGCAATATGTGGCACAAATATGGAGTCAAAATCACCAGTAGTTTCTTGATTTACAACACTGCAAAGTAGGCTCCCAGACTTTTGCCCCACCCTGTACACTGAGGAGCAGTAGTCCATGGAGACGGACCAAAATGGTAGTTTGTTTCCCCACCCACAATGAGTGGTATCTGCGCGCCATGAGCGTAATCGACAAAAGGCAACTGTTTACGTGCTTAATCGACAGTACTTTGTACCTTTCCAGTACCGCATAACTCGGTATACTGGTGAAAATTTGAAGATTTTTTGGTCCGCACTATATGATGGAGCTGTCCATCTACGTCACCTGTGTGGATAAAACTATAGTCGACAAAAACGGGTCAAACTAAAACTTTCATGTTGCGTATCCACATCTCGCCATAACTCTCTATTAGGTCTTCATTTTGCTATAGACACACCAAATGGAATTTGGTGATTTATTTTGCTTTTGTTTATACCAGCCTGCGACCGATCCCGATTGAAACATCCTGCCACCACATCGTCTACCCCATCATGTTGTGTCTCTCAGACAAGCGGGACAAATACCAAATATCTGTCTCAAATATCTACAAATATCTGTATCTACGCGCAAAGGCACTCCAGGTTTGTGCCACAAATTTGGCAACTCTGCTGAATTGAACAGAAAAGACGATAGCACCTTATATTAAAACAGTGCAGCGGGTGATGAGCGGAAACTCTGCAGTATTCTCATTTTAACAGTAACAAAGCAGCCCCTTACTATGATTGCCGCCAACGCTAATTATGGATTGGTTGAAAATGCTAGCCCAGCTATTCCGCTTTTGG